AAAAAACCCCCCCCCCCCAAAAAAAAGTCCCGCAAAAACCGATTTTTCATCAACTCAACGAAAACCTTGACTCCAACCCCTAGGTTATTATCTCGTCCTGCTGAGTCGAGAGCATCTCGCGTTTCGCGCAGACTCGTCTTTCTCTGGCAGGCGCACTCGCTCCGGCCAGTTAAAAAGAAAGAAACAATGAGGGAAAAAAAAATACGAGAACAGGCCAACGGGTGAGATCACCCACACACTCGGGGTAGGGTCGGCAATGCAGTGGTGCGCGGTTCGTTCGAGAAGTAGTTGGCCACAGCTTGTTGTCGATAAGCCCGTGGATGTGTCGAATAGTCCTTGCGTCTGAAACCTCGCGAAATTGTCGGCAAAAGTCCCCGAGAGTCTCACCGAGAAAAAAATTGGGGAGTAAAAAATCGCGAGGGGAGATTGCGGTGAAGTTCGAGGGGTAATTCGCAGACGAGAGGCCATCTGGACCCGCTCGAGCCACTGGGAATTTACCCATTTTTTTTCCAGTGATGCTGAGTGATGTAGAGGACCACTTGTTACCAGCGATACTCTTTTCCCCGTAGATCGAAAGATAATGGCGTGTCCGTTGGAATATTGATCGTTTCAACCCTATGATTTACCGAGTAAAAGGACTAAAAAAGGTGGTGAAACGAGACAGTGCCCTGGTGACGAGGTATCCGGGTCACAGGGATAATGCGCTCAATATCCAGTGGAGGAATTGCGTCAAATAATCTCGTGTTGGTGGTTTTGAAAAAAATATCACAGTGCGAGGACAGCCTTGACATAATCGCAAGGTCCCACCGCCGATGAGTGACTAAAATTCAGCAGCAGAAAAAATAGTAGGGAGCGTCAGAGGATTTTTCTATTTTTTATACGATAGTAAATAATTCTCAACCCGAGAATCATGTAATGATTTGGGGAGAGAAGAATGTCAGGTGACCGTGAGCGTCAGAGATTCAGCTGGGAGATGAAAAAATTCGCAACTAAAATAAGCCCTCGGCGTTTTGTATTTTCCCCCCTCAGTGGACTTCCGCGGTGCATCAGAACTATTCAGTAACCTTGATCAACGTCTAGTGATAATTAAGCGAGAGATTCAAGGAGAAAAAACAGAAGAAACTTTTTTCAACGAAAAAAATTGACAAGTTTTATTATCTCGTTGTCACGAGGAGCACCGAGGGGATTAATTCCTCGAGAAAAAGGAATTCCCAAGGAACAACGAGTGCAAAGTTATCGGTAACACGAAGTCAAAGGCCCCAGGACCATTTTGATGATTATCAGTGAGGGACTAGTGGATATAATGCACCAGAACGCGAGGTATCAGTTCGCAATGAGCCACAGCATGTGAAAAAGTTGCTGGGGAAACGTGATCGCGAATGATGCCTCCTTGAGAGTTGAGAAGTTCTTTTATTTTTTTTTATTTTTCTTTGAATCATGGAGGTGAGTTTTTACTGAGTGCGGGCCCCCCTCGAGTGGCCAGGGTGTCATGCCCCCGGGGGCTAAGGGTGGGGCGGAGGGCCTTGATCCCTCCTGTTCAGAGTTACACGTGAGCGAGGAGATATCTCCAGCTAATATAGCACCACCCCTGAATCCCCTGCAGAGATGCTACCGACATATGAAGGTCAGACTAGCAAAAGGGATATGAAGGAATTTTTTGAAAAAACTTTAATAGAATTTTATAGGAAATTCTACTGAGAATTCCATTTTTCTGTACCATTTTTTCGATGGCAATTCCTCAAATTGAATTTTACAAATTTTTTCACTTCATTTTTCTTCGCAGTTCATTAAAAAAATGAAACGTTCTCATTAAAAAAATTTCATTTTCATCAAAAAAGTTAAAAATTTCTCATTTCATAAAAAACATCAAACAAAAAACTTGGAATATTATTTAAAAATATTTTTCAAATTATTTCAGAAGAATAAATTGTACAGAAAAAACGAATTCAATCAATTTTTCAATAGAAATGTTTTCGTCGGCGATGTCTTCAATAATTTGAAAAACAATGTCCTATTTTTCACTCCGTCTGCTTTCCAATGCCATGGGAATTGGTTCACATGTCATCATTAAATCCCCGAGCCTAATGGACTCGTTTAACAACAGATGAATGATGTTTTCTCTTTCCAGAGCTCGGGAATTGGAGAGGCGAGTGTCTACCATGCACTGGTTGTGATATTCTTGGAGTTTTTTGCATGGGGACTCCTGACAATGCCAATAATATCGGTATTAAATGAAACATTTCCGGATCACACGTTTTTAATGAACGGTCTGATAATGGGAATAAAGGGAATCCTTTCGTTCCTATCAGCACCGTTGATCGGCGCATTGTCAGACGTGTGGGGAAGAAAATTTTTCTTACTCATCACAGTTGCATTTACCTGTGCACCAATACCACTCATGAGTATTAATACTTGGTGGTTTTTTGCTATGATATCGATAAGTGGGGTTTTTGCCTGCACTTTCTCCGTTGTTTTTGCATACGTTGCTGATGTTACTGAGGAGAGTCAACGATCGTTAGCTTATGGATTGGTTAGTATTCATTAATTGCATTAATATTTATTAATTATTTTGGACTATCATGTACAAAAAAAAAATCCCAAAAAAGCCTAGAGAATTTCGCAACTTCAATGCGTATTTTTTTAATAGAAAATTTGTAATAGAAACTATTCTATAGAGAAATTCCTCAAAATGAATTTTCTATATTAAAAAAAAATATTATTGTATTTTACTGAAAAGAATTATCATTTCAAATAATTGATTTTTCAGTTTTATAATTATTTTCTCTCTTTATCAAAAAGTTCAAAAGAAACTCAATAGAATTTTCTATCGAATTCGCTAGGTTCTCCTACAAAATTTTTTGGCACGTGATTGCATCGAATTTAATGAATTGATGGTTTGAAAGCATAATTTTAATATTTGAATAATCTCTTGTGTTTATTTGAAGGTGTCAGCGACATTTGCTGCTAGTATGGTGATAAGTCCAGCCCTAGGTGCATGGACAATGACAACTTATGGAGAGAATCTGGCTGTTGCACTGGCAACAGCAATAGCCATACTCGACGTATTCTTTATTCTCGTGGCTGTACCAGAGAGTCTGCCAGAAAAAGCACGACCTCCTGTTCCAATTTCATGGGAACAGGCTGACCCATTTGCTGCCTTGGGAAAGGTAGATATTCAAATGAGTCTTCTCCACAATTCTCAGAATATAAAGAATATTCTGTTGATTAATAAAGATTAATAAAGACTTTGGGCTCCTTTCGTTAATTTTAAATGGAAAAATTGTGGTTTATCATCAGGTGGGGAAGGATCACACTATTTTGATGCTATGCGTCACAGTTTTTCTGAGCTATCTACCAGAGGCTGGCCAGTACAGCTGTATATTTGTGTACCTAAAACTTGCCATGGGCTTCTCAGCAGCAATGGTCGCTGTCTTCATTGCTGTCGTTGGTATTCTCAGTGTTGGGGCACAAATTCTTCTTGGACCTCTCATGAGAACTCTGGGGAGCAAACACACTATCATGCTCGGGCTCTTGTTCGAAATGCTGCAGTTGATGTGGTATGGCTTCGGTTCACAGACTTGGTAAGAATTTTCACCCAATATTTATGGGAAAAATACACTGTCGGAAATTTTCAGTTCCACTGGGTTTCCGAGAGAAATTTCGTTTGAAAAATCAATGGAAATTTACCCATTCTGTAATAACTCTAGGATTTTTAAGTTATGTAGAATGTAAGATCGATATGAAAATTGCTATTTACCTTGAGGGCAGGCAAATTAAAATTTTTTAGATAGTAATGATGAAGAAAGTGTGAAAAGTCACTGCAAAGTTGATTTTCAAATGGACAACAGCATCGGAAAATGAAGATATTTCACATTTTCAAAACAAAAAATACAATTTCAATCAACATAATCTCATGTTAAAGCTCAACGTGTCTGAAAAAGGCGTAAACTTCAGTCTATTATTCATCAAATGTGATTCAAGGAGTATAGTTTGTTATTCTTATTCCCTTCGGCTTCCACACCCCATTGATTTTTCCTCGCAGAAAGTTTCTTAATTGGGTCAATGCTGCATAGAATCGCGTGTTACAAACGCAGTTGGAAATTAAATTTTTTGACTTTTTTTCCCCTCCACCGATTTTTTCTCCCTCGAGTCACGAAAAGTCAACAAACCCCCCCTGGGTAATTAGCGGGAGTTAGAATGAATTGTCACTGAGTGATGAGCTTGTTAAATAATACCGTCTTGCTTCATACGCATCCTTGAAGTGCTTACGTGGCGAACATTATAGTCCCTTCCGTTTTTCAACTAAAACGCGTCCATACGAATCCCACGCAAATCGATTTTTTTATTGTATATCTGGAAATCTTTACTTCGGTTACTTTGTTGACCCAGGCCAAATCGATTGACAATTTTCTTTTGTTCCTGTTCACTTCCTGATTCTATGCTCAGACAAATGAATTTCATAGAAAAACCTTGCGAATTTGGTAGAAATTTCTATTGAACTTCTGTTGCATTTGTCGACATGAATTTCCTCGTTTTTTTTTTCATTATATTTTTCTTCTCTTTTTATCATTAAAAAAAATTTTTTTTACAATTTTTAGAATTTATTTATTTTATTGGTGCTACAATTACTGTTTTACACCTAAAAATTCCATAGAATTTTCTAGCAAATTCGTTAAATTTCGATGTTTCTATAAAGTTATTTCTCTCGTGTGTGTCTCTGAGAACGTTTCAGAATAAAAAAAAAACGAACGAGAATTTGTTCACACGTTTATTCAATTTTACAAGCATTAGCAACCTTGAACAACATTTTCCCTCCATTATCAACGTTTCAAAGCCGCACAACATACCACAAGTTCGATAACAATTGCCCGAGCCACCGAGAAATGAGGAAAAAAGCCCCTAGAATACGTTAATACAAAGTCAAACTGACAATTGATTAAGACTGAATGGGTAAACGTGCACAATTGCTTCAGAAATGAATCCAAAGTGGTCGTTGGAGTTTATCATTTCCCAGTTTCACATGTACCAAGTATTCCGATTGACTTGTGTTGATGTACACGTTTCGAGTCGATGGGCATATGATCGGAATGGCTATTTTTAAAGTACAGACGCACGGAGATTTTATTAGAATCCCGGTGAGACCTGTCACGTCACTGGTTCGAACCTCTAATCAGTTATTATTGTAGACATCGATAAATCGATTGTCATTTAATGACATTTTAATGGAAGGGTGGTGCAAGACGCGTGGTGCATGTCTTCGGAGACAGTTAAGGCGAGATGAGATGATGAGGACAACGGGGAATTGAAAAAATTTAACTCTTACGTGTGGAAAAATAACGAAAAGACTTTTTTTATTCTTCAAAATGTCGAAAGTAAATTTCTCCAATTTTCTCTGCTGATCTATCGCGTATGAAAATAAAATAATAGATGATGATTAATTAATGAATTCATCCATTAATTAATCAATTAATTTATTCTGTTGATACTTTTTCCATAGGAAATTTACGTGATTTTTTCAAGTTCTCTTTTCTTCAATTATCAATAGAAAATTGAAATAAAAATAGGCCGTTGAGAATAAATAGAATTTCAGTGGAAAATTGATAAATTTTTCTAGTAAATTCTTCAAATGTCCTTTTAAATGGTAAAAAAAAATCATAAGAACTGGTTTTCGCCGAAATATTTAAATATATTCCTTGGATTTTTTTCATCAACACCTCTACCCCCCACAAAATATGACTCAAAATGAATGGAAATATCCTCAGGATGATGTGGGCGGCTGGTGTATTAGCATCAGTATCAAGCATAACGTATCCAGCAATATCAGCATTCGTGTCGATGCACTCGGATGCTGACAAACAGGGTCTCGTCCAGGGCATGGTAACTGGTATGAGGGGCCTCTGCAATGGCCTTGGACCAGCTATGTTTGGTGTTATATTCTATTTGTTCCACGTCGATCTCAATGACGATACACCGTCACTACCTCTCAAACCATCATTACTTGATGATAGTAATAGAACAGGGACTGCAACGCAGCATGTGGATATCATTCCCCAGGTAAATACATTGCGATGGTATTTCTGTTTGGAAGTGTTAACAAGTATTTTCTCCATCACTAAAATCTTTTCAGAAGTAATCATTTTTTATTCCTCTGCCATTTCACGAGAAACATCTCTCTGTCGAATGGATGAAGCAAAATGAATAAATTCCAATGAGACTTTTTTCATTTTTGGTGAATATCTCGGAATGCAGTGGACATACGACAATTCTACTCGGAACCTTTTTTGGAGAGCAAAACGAGGGCTGCAAAAAAGGTTCAGAGTGAAATAGTCGTATCTGCCTTGCATTCCGAGATGTTCGCCAAAAACTGAAGTCTAGTTTGAGTAGATTCATCTTGTTTTGTTAATTCGCAAGTGTTTTTTTGTTGATTACTTTCCAATTCAGAAAAAAATAATCAATATTATTTTTTGTTGAGATAAATCATCATTTTGATATGATGATGAAATTTCAGCTGGTACCAGGCCCCCCCTTCGTGTTCGGCGCGCTATTGGTGATATGCGCCCTACTCGTTGCTGCTTTTATACCAGAGTCAAGTCCAACAACAACAGGTCCATTGCATCACCACTCTTCCACATCGCGGAGGCCATCCGGTAAATACGCATATCAGAAATGTACGTTACAGGTTTAAGTGGATGAAACGAAAATGTCAGGGAAAATGCTTCAGGTGGTGGATTATTCGTGCATATGTCCAATGATGGATCGATCTCACGATTCCTGATTCTTTCATTTCAGTGCGTTAATATAGAAACATCCAATCCACGAGTCAATTAATTGATGAATTTACTCATTAAAGAATTAATTAATGAATTGATCACTTGCCATTGAAAAAATTGGTTTGATCCACAGATTGATGAGTTTTAATAGATTAATAATAGATTAATAAATTCATTTATCCTTCGATTTTTTAATGAATCAATTGATCACTCTATTAACTGATTGAATAATTAATTAACGAATTGATTCATAAATTAATCCATAAATCCATGAAATAATTCACTAGTCGTGTGAAAAAAGGCTTGATTAACTAACGAATTAATGAATTAATTAGATGACTAATCAAAATACGATATAATCCCTCAAAATATCAATTAGTTTAATCCATAGGTTGATGAATTCTTAAATTGATTGATGAATAAATAAATAAATGATAATGAATAAATTTTTTCAATTGATTGAAGAATAAATCGACGAATCCAAAGGCCTGTACATCAAAAACCCCCCGAAACCCAGCGAAAAAAGACGTCTCCAACTGAAAAATTTAACTTATAATTTCAGGTTTATCCCTGGATGTTCATTATGAGCCAGAGAGACTCGGTAGTGGACGCATAAAGGTCGGTCCACTATCGCCCCTAGTCGACAATTGTAATTCAGCCGCCCTCTAGCTGTTATTAACCCGTAAAACCATCATCATGCACCGAGACGAGGCCTATCCTGCCAATAGGTCAAGGCCACAGCCCTCCGGCTAAAAATTGCCCCCAGCCAAAAAAAAAAGCTACACGTGCGCACGTGATACGTGAAACGATTTTTTAGTCTATCGCTTGAGACCGTCAATAAGAGAACGAAGAAAATTCCTTGAAACGAATAATAAAACATTGTGAATTGGTGGGTTTATAATTGTTGGTGAATCGGCTATAGGTGCTACGTAATGAGCTTCTCGCCGAGTGCACAAAATAATTTTAATTACAGGTTTTTCATGAACGGCCGGTGGCGAGTGGACGATCAGAGAGTCGCAAACAGTATTTTCACTAGATTAAAAATCAAATTGTTGAAACATTTTTTTTCTATTGCAATTCCTGATTTATTTCGGTGTCGCGTAATCTGGCACTTGGTAACATTCGATATGAAGTATCGATATTGAATATCATCAATATTAAGTTGAGTGAATGTCTCCTAAATTTGTAAAACGGATTTTTTGTGATTTTTATCTTCGGTTTTTGGATCGAGTTGATGACACCAAATCATGGAATTTGAACATTCGATCATTTTTTTCGAGTGTTTCATTGCTTTTTGAGAAGTTTTCTGTTCAACTCGCGGTTGTCAAGTGGTAAAGCGTCGTAAGTCGATTTTTTTCATTTTATCCCGTACGAAATTGCCTCGAGAATTTGTCACGATGTCGACAAATTGATTTATTGAGGTGCATTCGAACGGTAAAAATGTTGAATGTCGCTTAATCTCTATTTCAGATTTCTACAGTCAAAACAATCACATCTTTCTGCAATTGCCAGTGAGAAAATAACAATAAAAAAAATTATATCAATTTTTTATTATTTTTGTACCATATATTACATTCCTGCTAGTAAAAAAATCTCCCCGGATTCTCTGATCCCTAGTATTTCCTTTTTCTTTGTCGTGCAGTGACGAAGCGAGAAATGCGGAAGTTCTCCAAGCCAAAGATCGATTAAGTTAAATAGAAGCCAATAAATGAGTGAAAAAATACGTTTGTGGACATTGTACTGACGAGAGAATTTAAAAAGTGCGTTAGACCTGAAGAAAAGACATTTTAAATAATCCTGGCACGCTCGAGGAGCTCTCCTGCTGGCATAATCACTTGCGTCAATTGCTTAAAAGTGCTCCCCACGTGTCTCAAGGGAGAATGTACGAAAATAATAATTTTAGCATAATAGTAATAATAGGTAAATGAGAGATATGAGTCACGTATGGAGAGATCTTTGAGTCGAGTGCTACGGCTAATTGATTTAGGATCAAATATCAAATTCTCGTGTTGAAATGAGAAAACGTGTCTTTTTTCATTTGTAGAGAATCACATTTTGCAAGTTGTCAATTTTATGTTCGTAAAAAGGGAATGAACAAGTAACACGCAGCTGTACTGTAATTATAAAAACATCATGAATTTAATAATTACGAGTGTGACGTTGCGATCAAGAGGATGCCTAGTTTAAGGTGTAGAGGTCGATTTGATGATTAAAAATATTGTCAATATCGAGTGAGAAAAAAATGTACATGTACGATTTATGATTGCAACAGTAAAAATAAATTATTTTTAAGATAAAGGAAAGAACGATTTTCATTTGTAATTCCCCAATTTCCCCTCAAATGATGAGTCAAAAGTGATTTTCCAAAATTTTACAAACAATTAATTCGCGTTTATTCGTATTTTCATAATAAATTGGTAGAAATAGAAATCGGACTTATGGCTAAGTATCACGCGTTTGTTATATTTACGACGTTTGGGGACATTGTCACCAGTATCGAACCACTTTGTTGCCACAATTCTATTGCTTTGTTGACGATCAACTCGGAAGTTTCTTCATTTACCTGCAATTGATGCAGTGAAAGCAGCTCTTCATTCATAATCTCATGAAGTTGATTGAAAAGAAGAAATGAAAAATGAAACTCACATGAGATATTGCATCCAGAACACCATCAATACTCTCACACTGCAGCAAAACTCTTCTGAATGTTGTGAGAATGACAACAGCCACGAAGACTAGTATTTTGTACGCACCAACAGCCACTTTATCCCAAATTCTGAAAGTATAAAGATTTCATCAATTTTTATTCACGATTAATTAATTAATTGATTAATATGATATAATTATACATAATATTATTAATCAATGGATTAATACTATAAATATTATATTCATTACTTTGGTATTGATCCATCACTGATGATGCCCGCGAAGCAGGAGCAGAACCACTCGTCGAAAGGAATATTATTGAGTGCCTCGAATTTACTCAGATGTTTGTACAGAGTGGGATCTTCCCTCTCCAGCAATTGAGAAGTGCATTCTAGGAGTTTGCCAACGTCTTTGTGAAACTTCTGCACGTGATCCAAGAAGCCACCCAGGATCCAGTACATGTCCACCATCTTCTCGTACTCGTGGTCACCTTCCATTATGTGCCAGAGGCTTTCTGCCATTTTATTCATTGCCCTAATTAATTTAAACCATAAATTAATGAATTTTCTCATTGATTAATGCACACATGCATTCATTTTATGATGAATACACTGATTCATTGACTAATGAGTTGATTAATTCGTCAATTAATTAAACTAATTAATTGAACTGAATTTAATGAATTTATTAATTCATTCAGTAATCAATTGATTGAATAAATTCCTTGATTAATGCATCGATCAGATAGTCAACAAGTTTTCCACTCGATTGAAAAATGAATTAACGAATTAATTCATAAATTAAAAAATAATATTTCAATTTAATGTCATTCAGTCATTAAGACTAATGAATTGAATAACTGAAAATAATGAAATTGTTTTCCTAAAATATTTCTACCTGACAAGAGGTGACTCCAACTGTGCACTCAAATCAATCTTCGCCCTCCTCGTCCTCAGCAGCCACATCATCAAAAAAACCCTATGAGGTTTCGTCCCCTCATCAACAATCCTCGTGACCTTCAACGCCCTCCTCAAGTCCTGGAACTCAATCCTCCTCTGCTGGGACACAAACTCCCGGCTCTCCGGATAAATCGGAGTGATTCCAAACAGAATTTTCCAGAGGAAGTTCCTGTGCATCACTGGCACTGTGAATCTCAGACAGAAGTGCTTCAATTTAGCAGTGTCGAAGGGCCTCTCCTTCAGCAGTATCTCCAGTGATTTCTTCTCTTCGACACTCCTGAAGCCGACCTGTCGAGTCAACAATGGAATATACAAGTCTAACCTCCACTCCCTCAACAATTCCACGGAAAACATTGAATTTCCAACGTCTCCACACCTTTTCGTAGTACGACGACCTGAAATTCCTCTCGTCTGTCATGTCTCTACTAATTAAATCAACAAGAATAATTATTTAATTGAAAAAAAGGCGTCAACTAGTTCGACAAACAAAAATAAATGTCAACCGGACACTCAACCCTGCGCCTGCGCATTTGGAAATCGTCAGCCATTCTTCGTCCCCTCGAATGTGATTGGTCCATTCGAAATACTTCAGCTGTGTTGAAGAAGAGAAGACAACAAGGGGAGAACAAAGAGCCGAAACGAACAATTCCTCATAATCTTCGTAATAAATTGAACGATGAAGTCGAGTCAGGGAGAGAAAATACCTCAAACTAAAGGAGAAATTGTTGAAATTCACTCGAGTGGGAGTGAAACGACGGAGAGTCTGTGCTCCCTCTGCGAACGTGAGCTGTCAAAGGCTGCTGAGGACAAAGAAGAAAGGAACAATGAAGATCCCGAGGATATCCTTGACGATTTGCTGGAGGCTTCGAGGTCCTTGTCGCAGATCAGCGTTCAGGACGATGAAATTGACTTCGAAATTGATCAGGAGACACTGTTCGACCTGGAGAATGCAGCGAAGTTGAGTGAGAACAAGGATTCGAGAGGAAGTTCTGAGGAGTTGGTGACTCCTGATCAGATCAAGGAGTATTCTCTGGGGAATCACAATGGCCTTGGAGATTTGAGGGTCGAGGATCTATCGAGCGACGAGTCCGACTTCTTCCTGAGGATTTCCTCCCTTCGGCAAGATGCTCTTCCTCAACAGCCAGGAGGATGGACAGCTCCAGGAGAGCCTCAGGTCTCGAAAGATGATGGAGAACCCGCACAGAAACGGGTGAAGCTGACTGGGGGGGTTTCTTCTGGAAAATCTCAGGAAGCTGATGGCAATCTCGATGACTGGGGCACGGACTTCCCTCCAGAGGTGGAATTACAGAAGATTGACGACTCGGTTAGAGCGTTGACCCAGCAGAATCTTGAGGGACCGTTGGAGAAGAGTGAGGAAGAGCCTTTCAAACTTTCTGAAATCGACTACAAGGGGATCACGGAGAAGCTGATTAGCAGGAAGAGGGAGTTCCAGGATTTGATTGATAATGTCTACGAAGCGAGGTGGGCATGATTAATCAACAGCAAATGATACTGATTAATTTATCAATCTCTTTAATTTCAATTTCTAAATTTTCCAATTTTTTTTCACTCCATTTTTCTTTTTTTTCCTTAAAAAATTGAGGAGACAAAATATTTTTATTTCATAAAGACCCAACAGCATAGATCCTAGGAGAGGATCAACTTGATTGGAGAAAAATATTTTGATGAATTTAATTATTATCTTAGAACCAAAATAATTGATAGAATTTTTTAAACTCATTTTTCAGCTGCTATCTGGGCAGAATTAAGGAGATCCTGGCAGCAGCTCCTGCGTCAGGTCCAGTGGTGATTCCCCCTCCACCAAAGCCCAGTGGATACGACCAGCAATTCGATTTTCCTGATCGTAGCAGATTCCCAAAATTGCCGATTACGATTGAGTCTTGTGGGGGGTCTAGGGGCCATGAGTTCAGGGAGAACAGCTTCCCAAAACCACAATTGAATGCTTTGTAAGTTAATTCAAGGTTTCAATTTATTTAGTTTAATGGTAATTCAGTTGTGAAGTTGAAGAATAAGATGTTAATCTCATTGAAGATGAGTTTTTTTATTAAATTTTTGAAGATAAATTCCAACTTTTAGAATTATAAATTTCAATTCCAATTTTATTGAAGACTCCATTCATAATGAAAACCTTTCCGAATAAAATTCTGACATGAATTGCCTGATTTTTTTAGATCTAATCCGGGAAAATCCGGGAAATCAGCTCCCAGAAAAGGATTCATCAACTCTGTCACAGCGTTGAAGCCCTCATCAGCAAAATCCATAAACAACAGAATTGAAATCGCCCTGCCCAACAGATTCAAGAAGCAGCAGACGATCAAGGATATGTTCTCAACTGGAAATAAGGAGAATAAAAAAGGATCTGGGGGGTCAGGAGAGACGAACAAGAGCTTTGAGAAGGATACCATCAGTGACAGTGGATCCATGTACAACTTTAATCCACTCGTTCGTGCGAGGAAGCCAGCGAAATAATTCCATAGCTCAAATTTCAATTCTTCATTATTATTCAGTCATTATTTCGTTTACTTTAGTTTTTATTTCTCCATGGAAAACTAAAAAATGAGACAATTTCAGTAAAACTAAATTCCTTGTGATTAATAATTAATTTCAATGATAATTATCAATCATAATTGATAATTAAATAAATTAATTCATATTATAAACTATAAATTAATAAACATGTCTGTTATTCACCCACAGAATAAAATAAATTTGTGAATAAATTTTCTCTCATTTTAAATTAAAATTTCTTTCATTAGTATTTATTCATCGTTTCGCTTTATTTAATTCAGTTCTCGAGAAAAAAATTTACATTTTAAAAATTCCAATGAAATATGACGCGCTATTCCGGGTCACGTGACTGACCTTGAGATGTTGTTTCGTCAAACGTAAACACAATCCTCTCGTGTCACCTTCTCATCGAATTAACTGTTTAAAAGGAGTGCATCAATGTCAATTTCTTGATGATCACCTGCAAGATCATCTGCCAGAGCCTGGCCCAGTCCCCTCGCCTCCAATTATAATTCACCCCCAAAATTATCAAGATGGACAAGGAATTAACCTCCAAACGTACCCCCTTGAGGAACAGCAGCCTGGCAAACAGGCCCTTTCGCTCTCCATTCGCCTCGCTGACGCCTAAAAGTGATATTAAAAAATCATCACCCCTAATTACATCAACTTCGACACCCACTACAACTCTGTAAGAATTTTTTTCATTTTTTTTTCAGTTTCATTCAGTTCATTTTATTTATTTTACCTTAGAAAACACCACTAGATTGAATTTTATGCATCTCTGTATGTTTTTTTTCTCTCCCTCTAAACTCATTAATTCCGAAATAATTTAATTGATTAATGTAATTTAATCAATGATAAATTGAATCATAATTAATGATAAATCAATACCATTAATAATTATCATTTAAATCAATTATTATCAATTATAATTATTATTTAGTCATTATGATGAAATTTATCATTGACTAATGTAATTTAATCAATAAATTAAATCATTTATAATCAATTGATAAATTGATCAAACGTTGAATAACTTAACGAATTGATTGAAAATGAATTAATTTGTGAATTAATGACTAAATTCATTGAATAATTTATCAATCACTTCCAGGCAAAATTCCACACCGAAAAGGGCCTCAGTTTTTCCCGACAAGTCTCAAATAAAGAAGCGAAGAATCGAGATCGAAGTCTGTGAGGATAATCGCGAGAACAAGCCAGTCCCATTCCCCTCAAAGCCCCAGCTGTTGGCCCTGAAGAAGACGATTCGTGACAAACGACAGCAGGTCGACAGCCTGAAGGCCCAACTGGCCTGTCGAAAAAAGCACAACAGAGAAGATCTGCACAAAGAAATCGACAGGTGGAGGACTGCCTGCCAGAGTGCTCTAGTGCAATTCCAGAAGGACTGGAACGATACCAACGCAGAGGGGGTCTACTACGACATGAGGAGGATCCTGGCAATGCTGAATATTCCAGAGGAAGTCGTCAAGTTCCCAGATGAGGCTGATTTAACTTAAATAAAAATGGGATTTACCCTCTATCTTCGCTTTTTGTTAATCGTCCACTATTATTTTTTATCACCGCAATTCATTATTTTTCATTTGAAAATATATATGAATATATAATATATGAGAATATACGATATTAGTCTCAAGTAAGACTAGGAAATGATAGAGTAAGAGTATTTTTGTGTTAAATAAAACGTTTAATATTAAAAATAAAATTCGATAGTACAACAAACATCGTCTGTCGTAGAACTGCATTCTAATTCGTTTAACCTCACTAAAATATTAATTATTTACAGTTTATTAATTGATTCAAGGCGTAATTGAGGGATTTTTCCCGCCAAAAGTTGGAGTAAGTGAGAAATTCGAAATTAATCTTCATATTTAAACTATTTTTCCATTTTTTATTAGCACAGAAAATATACGAGTTCGAAAGACTGAAGCAATTTCCTAAAAATTTTGTTTCTTCTCAATTACTAAAATTTTAAATAATTCAAACTAATGAATAAAAAATTAAATTAAATGAATTAGTTATTAATTAGTTTAAATTAATGTTAACTGAAGAATTGATTGATTAGTTCATTATTAAATTGCTCAGTACATGAATAAAAACTAATTAATTAGTTCCCTCATTCATGCCTCAATCAACTCCTAATCAACTCCTATCCAATTGTCAGATCTCGATCAACCGGCTGAAGGGAATCCGTCCTGTAGTTCCAATAATACTTAACGTCATCAATTCGAACCCACGTATACCCCAATTTGACGCTCTTCCCCAGCTTCATGGCCTCGAATCCGATTTCCCTGAGTCTCCTGTGGAGGAACCTCTGCCCAATAGTCAAATCCGGACGAATTAGAATCCCCGTGTCCTTGAGGAGCGCGCGATTCCTCGTGACCTCAGCCTTGGCCTCGGCACTCGTCAGCTGCACCACCAGGACGTCCCTTCTTTTTCCTACGACTCGAGCTGATGCCACGCAGTCTCGCAGGTTGAAGTACTTCTCCAGGAGCTCCGAGGCCCTGGACGTCGCGTCTTCGTCGGAAGCGCTCACCCCGACGACTAGAATATTAAATCTTCGTCTCTCCTTGTCCTCTCTCTCAATCTTCGCAGCCATTATCCTCAAATGGTTGAGGTACGCGCTGCGATGGTGCGCCGCTGCACTCGCCTGAGCCTCTCGCCTCTTCATCTCCTCCAGAGCAGATTTAATCTCGATCAAGACGTTCTCCAGTCTTGCAGTCGACTGCTCCCACGTGCGTTCCTTCTCGTAAAGTTCAGATCGCAAATTCGCGGCGTCTCGCCTCGATTCTCGCACCAAATCCTCTCTGAGGGGGAGACTGGGTCGGGGGAGTTCCTGGCTTCGGTATTTCCAAATGTCGGAGGGGGTCTTCTTCGGGGAGGGACTCTCCTCGAAGAAATTGACGATGAGAGGGGCCTCGGGGTCTGTCAACTTTGAGTCGCTTCTTCTTGACTTCAGGAAAAAGAGAGTTATCGTCAGCTTTGGGGAAGGGGGATTTTATGGCTTGACAAATTGGGTGACGTGACCAGTAGATAATTAATGGAGAACAATCTTGTTATGGATGATGACAAAAATTATTTCGAGTGGAAGAATTTAGAAAAAATCCTGCAGTGACGCCATTTCTAATAAATTAACAAAATAATAATAATAATAATAATAGTAATAATAATAATGTCGTGGAAAAGTTAAATAGTTTATGATCAAAAGATTCGGATGAAGAGGAATTAATGAATGAAAATTGAAATGAACACAATTTTCATGTCATTATTAATAAAAATTCTGGTGGAACATGAAATTGTCTATGAATTAATGCTAAGTATTCATCTATTGGTCAAGGTACCCCAAGTGGAGAAAAAAATAGACTCAGCATTTGTTGAACGATTTATTTTAATCCGAATGAAAGAAGGTACAATTTTATTTTTTTAATGGTAAAGTTAGAATTTATGGGGCCTAAAGGGATGATCCGGATCAAACAGTTTAGGATCACGGATGTACTCTGGATCTTTATTATAAATCGCCATTAATCCACAGTTCTGTGCCTTCAATATTTCTCTCTCCACTTTCTCCTGTTTAGCTTTACAGAGACCAGTTATGTGTCTTCCGTAAATTCTTCCCGTGTAGGAGCTTTGAAATTGAGACAAAAGCCGGACATTCTTGTAATCAGGTTCTATTTTCAATCTACACAGAATGCAGACTCTTTTCTCCTTCATGAAAGGATTTTCCTCGAGTGTTATGGGCTAAAAAGTTTATTCAACGTATTAAAAAAAAAAATCAAGTGCCCAAGTTATTTCTTCAACTCTTCGTAACTCATTTCATGCACAACAACGGCTTCCAAAGCCTTTTTTTCAACAGAAAAAAAAAGAAAAAAAATAAAAGGACGAAATTGAAGGAAGATTCAATCGTTAATATCTCCTGAACAAACGATGCGATTTGGATAAATCGAAACTCATTTTAAGGCTGAAGAAAATATCTTCAAAATGAAGAAAAAATCAGGGAATTCGACTCAGCCGTTCCCAAGATATTTATAATTAAAAAAGTCTGTTTTGCTCTATTCTTCTTTAATTGAATAATTCAAGCTTCAAAGAATAACATTTGCGTTTTAATTTTAATTTTCCTCAATCAAAGAATCCTCTCTCCAAAATAAAAAAAATAAGCGATGGAAATATGATTAACAAATTGAACTCACAAAATCCTCATCCTCCTTCTGCACCTGTGTCTCGACTTTATCCTTGACTTCATTATGCACTAGTCGACAGGACGACCTCAGGTAATCCCCTGTAACGCCCAAAAGAACATAAATCAACGCCTCAAATAAAAATCCCAACAATCCCACTAATTGAATCGAAATAAAAAGCTTTGAACCCTGAAAATATTGAGGTTAAGTGTTCCCCGAAGTTTAAGGCATTCTCACTCGAGTATTTGAAGATGTTCCTCACTAAATTCGCCATCCTCTCCCCCAGAAGCTCCACGAGGGGTCAAGTAATACTGAATTCCAAGTGAATTCTCCTTATTTCGCCAAAACTCTGAGGATTTCCAGTGGAATTTTTAGCTCATCCTCTGATGTTGTTTTTTTTTTCTCGTGAAGTTGGATTTCCTCCGGTTGAGAGCCTCCTCCTCTCGACCAATCGCAGAGTTTGTTTACAACAGAGGTTAGATAAGAGCCGAGGGTGGTGGGGGTGGTGTGCCGGTGGGTTTGGGCGCGAAAAATCCCAACGGTTTTGTTCCCCGACGTCTTCTCTTTGTCCGGCTAGGTTCATTTGTCTTTTTGCTTCAGTGGGAGCAAGTCTGAGCCCGTGTGCAGTCGAAATTATCGTTTATTCGCTGAATCGTACGTCCAAAGGTTGAAATTCCACGGAAATGGGGGAGGAATTCGACGGATTGGGGATGAATACCTCGTTTGTCGATGGGAATGACAAAAATTCGGGAAAATTCACTCCCGACGGCATTGGGCAGTGCGAGGACTCGGGGTTTGCCAGCATCGCAGGCTCTGTCACCACAGAAAATGGTGAGTGCGTCGTGTTTTTCTATTTCTCGTGAAACAAAAGAATACAATTGGAAATGACGTTTCGGCGATAAATCTCGGGTGGATAAAAGGACTTGGTATTTTTTATTTCGTGTGATCCCCGTAAATTCGCAGCGAAATGATTGCAACGATCGTTAAGGCGGTTAAATTCCTCGTGACCTTGGCAACAGCTCTGGGGATGAATGGGAAAAGTGTTGAGGATGGTGATGACGGAATTACTCTGGAGGAGAGACAGGGAAGTGGTGAAACGAGATAATTATAGGTTTTTGGGGCATCGGTCGGTTTTTGGCGGATATTTTGGCGGGGGCGGGAGATAGCGAGATTTTCGTGAAGAGGTTTTTTGTAGGGGAGAAGGAGAGCTACAAAAAAGGTCATGACGAAAATTTCGATATCTCCTTTGGGGTCGGCGGTAATTAGCGAAAACGACTTTTTGGGGATTTTCGATATTCATTTTTCTTCGTTACAGTTTTTGATGAATATCTTTGAATATATGGGAGATAGGGAAATTTTCATGAGGAGCATTTTTGAGGGGGGAAAGTAGAGCTACAAAAAAGGTTATAATAGAAATTTTGATATCTCCTTTGGTTTCAGAGATAATTGGGAAAACTAATTTTTGGGGTTAAAAAAAAATAAAACCTACAAAAAACGTCAGAAAAATCAATTCCCAGATCTATTTCTTAAAAACTAATACTCAAATTGATTCCTTACAAAATAATTCCCCTATTTTTCCAACAAAACTAGTTTCCAAACATTTTTCAAAATTTAATTTCCAATCGATTCCTCAGAAATCACTCCCCGAATTCGTTTCTACCGACCCTAGTTCCCAAATAGTTTCTCCCGACCTTATTCCCAGACTCATCTCGTTTCGCCGGGCAACCCCCGCCAGCCAATGACCCGTCTTCCTCTTCCAGACGAGAGATCGCGTCTCCCCGAGGCCCCAGTCCCCCTGAGCCGGACCGACCGTGAGCGCCTGCGCCTGGAGCACCAGGCGCTGAGGCGCCAAGCGGAGCAGCAGTACGAGAACGAGAAACGCGAGAAAGCCTACAAACGGCTGATGCACCTCTTGAAGCAATCCAAGTTCTTCTCAGACTTCCTGGTGAAGAAGCTGAGCATCACCGAGACAAAGCCCGCGACCTCGAGGTCCTCCAAGCGCAAGCTGGAGGCCCCCGGCGACGACTCTACCCCCGCACCTCCCCCAAAGCGCCCCCGAAGAGGCCGCAAGGCCCCCCAGGAGGACCTGAAAGAGTCCCTGCCCCCTGACCTTCAAAAACGAATGACAAGAAGTGGAAAACAGCACCTGACAGAGGACCAGATCCAGGCAGAGCTGGAGGCGCTGGTCGACGAGGCAGACGAGGCCGCAGAGGGCCCCTTCACGCAGCCCAAGTACTTCGAAGGGGACCTCCGAGACTACCAGAAGCACGGCCTCCAGTGGCTGAAGGCTCTGTACGAGCACGGCATGTCTGGAATCCTTGCGGACGAGATGGGGCTGGGTAAGACGGTGCAAGTGATCGCGATGATGGCCCACCTGATCGAGAAGCGCCAGTCGGGGCCCTTCCTGATCCTGGCGCCGCTGTCGACGATCCCCAACTGGCTGATGGAGTTCGAGAGGTTCGCCCCGAAGATCCCAGTGGTGCTGCTCTACGGTACCCCAGAAGAACGAGCCCAGCAGGCCCTCAAGCTGAAGAAACCGGTGTCAGTGGATGGGTTCAGAACCCTCCCAGTGGTTCTGACGACCTACGAGACCCCGATAAGAGACAAACGAGTGGTCAAAGCCCTGACCTGGAGGTACATAATCATCGACGAGGCCCAACGCATCAAGAACTCCGAGTGCCAACTGGTGCAGATCCTGAAGACGTGCGAGTCGTCAAATCGTTTGCTGCTGACTGGAACCCCCCTCCAGAACAATTTGAAGGAGCTCTGGTCGTTGCTCCACTTCCTGATGCCCGAGATCTTCAGTGATCTAGCTGTTTTCGAGTCGTGGTTCGACGTCAGGGACTTTCAGCACGAGGAAGGGACCACCAGGATTCTCCAGCAGGAGGAGGAGAAGAAGGTGCTGCAGTCCCTCAGGGAGATCCTCAAGCCCTTCATGCTGAGGAGGATGAAGACAGACGTCTGCCTGGACATTCCAGCGAAGAAGGAGGTGATGGTGTACGCCCCCATGTCAGCACTTCAGCGACAGCTGTACACAGCTTATCTCAACAGAGACATCTGCGCCATGTACAAGACGAAGCCTGAGCCGGTGATCTTGGACGACGAGTTTGGGCAGAGGCCCAAGAGGAGGTGTGCTGTGAACAACAAGTACAGTGGGGTCTACAGGAACCCTTATCAGTCGTTGGAGGGCAGTCAGGACACTTCGATCTCCTCGGAGGACGACAGTCGTCCTTCAACCCCTGATCCGGACTACGTGGCCCCATTCTCGGACTCTTCTGTTCGTGAGAACGAGCCTGGGACTGCCCTGGGAGCCAAGGAGGGGGGGAAGGAGGTGACGACGCCGGTGAAGACAGCGGCTGTGGAGAAGGCCATGGAGAACTGGACTGACCACGTTCAGGTTACTGAAGACAACTGCCATTACCTCTTCAGACTGTCCTTTGGGAATCGTCAGATGATGTACAGGAAGATCATCAATCATCCTTACTTGATTCATCTGCCTCTGAATGACGTTGGACTCCCGAAAGTCGATAATGACCTCATCGAGGCGTCTGGGAAGTTCGTGGTGCTCGATAGAATGCTGAGGAGGCTCAGTGAGGGGGGGCACAAGGTCCTCCTCTTCTCCACCATGAAGATGATCCTCGATGTCGTCGAGGATTACCTCAGCATGAGGCCCTGGAAGTACGTCAGGCTCGATGGAGAGGTTGACATAGAAACCAGGAAGAATCGTATTAATGTTTTTAATACTGATCCTGATTACTTCCTGTTCCTGATAAGCACCAGGGCTGGGGGGGTTGGGCTCAACTTGGCAGCTGCTGACACTGTCATCATCTTTGACAGCGACTGGAACCCTCAGGTCGACATTCAGGCGATGGCCAGGTGCCACAGGATTGGGCAGACCAGGCCTGTTGTTATATACAGGCTCTGCACCAAGGGAACCTTTGACGAGGCCATTGTCAGCAGGGCGGAGGCCAAGAGGAAGCTGGAGAAGCTGGTGATCTCCAAGGAGATCGAGGAGATGACGCTCTTCAATAAGGAGGGGCTCTTCAAGCTGAAGGAGTTGCTGGACTCCAGCGAGCAACAGGTGGGGAACTCGGGGAAGGAGTTCCTCTCGGAGGAGGAGCTGGAGAAACTCCTGGACAGGAGCGATCTTGAGGGGAGGGGTGAGGGCGCTCAGCAGGAGACTCAGCCGTAGGAGAGACGAAATACGGGGAAGACTTGTTTTTTTTTTCGTCTATTGTATTTTTCGTTGGTTCTGGTTTTTTCGTAAATGGTTGGTTTTTATGAGGTAGTGCTCCTGGGGACTTGGAAATCAATCCTGTTGACTAGTTTTGTAAAACTTAAGAAATTGCGTATTTTCTTACTTTAAAAATTTAATTAACAGTGTGATGGGATGATTAATCGTCTGAAGAATGGGTGAGTGAGAAAAAACAGATTTATCGTAAGTTTCGTAGAGAGAAGACACAATGTTTTAAATTTATAAAAAAATTTGTTTTCATCACAGCATTCTTTTGTAAAGGATAGTAAATACTGCGTGGATATCTACGGGAGAGAGGAATAAATAAAAGGATTCGAATGTCAGTTATGGTTGATATTATCCTTTGAGACTTCAAAATTAGTCCCTGAAGTTTAGAAATAGTGAGGAATTGTTGAGTTTCTTACATTAAAGATATAACAAAATAAATATTCATGTGTAATCGTAAATATTTTTATGTGTGCAGAGGACAAGTTTCAATATTTTACGCAATTTAGTTAGTTTTATCATTCAGAGTTTGTAGAAATGAGCTTCAACTTTCGAGAAACCGATAGGGATATTTATTTGAGTGTAAAAAACGTTAATAAATCGTATTTTGTTGTAAACGAAAATTACGAGGGGTCGGTGGGATAAAATGGGCACTTCGTATTTTCTAAATCAAATTTCAATGAAAAAAAAATTCGATTTCATCAACAATCCAGTGAAATTAGAATACATCAAGTGGTCCATTTCTCCCCACTCTACCTCACCTCATTTGGCGGGAAGAATTATTTATTAAAATGGGCACTTCAATTTTCTTTATTAAAAGAATCCAATTTTAAGGGAAAGAAAGTATTGAATTTCGTCAACAAGTTACGAAATTGAAAAAAAGGGTCTTCGCTAGTAATGTTTCCTCGTCATCTAATTGCTTTCTATGAGAATTCGTTTATATTTTCGTACATGTACCTCGTAATTCGTTAATTTAATAAACACTGGGGGCAGTATGTGCTCTACACGATTCTATTTGAATTATTCAGTATTCTCCAATCTGTTGGCCCTTCCCCCTCTACTGGCTTCACCTCGTTTTCCTCATTTTCGAATCATTCCCTGGCTGACCAGCGAGCTGTGAACACTCAGCTGCGAACCCTCAGCGCTTCGCTTTTAAATTAATTGCATTGAATTTTTTTATTCCTTCGTTTTTATCATTTTAAATAAACGGTGGCATCGGGACAGTTATTATGGAGTTTCCCACTGGTGAAGGGCATCAACAGCCTGCGGAAGTAAAGGGTCTTCCCGAGGGGGCAGATCCCGAGGACTCGGGATTCGCAAGCATCGCCGGTGCAGATACTCCACAGAAGGGTGAGATATTGGCTATTCAATTCTGCACCGCCAATTTTGATCTTTTAATTTTTAAATTCCTGTTCTGAGGAAGAGGGAAGAAAAATGAGAATTTTGCTGGATTCTCTGGGGATTGGGAGCTACAGTTCTGTCGATTGTGTTCATAAATCCGACCGTTGAATCTCAATGACATTGATTCGGGCATTCGTGAACTTGAATTTCGTAAACAAAGACTTTCGGTGTTTATTATAAATCAAAATACGATGCAAAGTCGCGAATTTCGTATTTAAACGACAGTTGCCTTCGAATTTATTTCTCATCTATGAATTAATCCAGAAAACACCTGTTTTCAGGGAGAATGTCGGAAAACTTTTCTCATTGGAGAACAATTCTTCGACAGAAAATAGTTTCGATCAATGTTTATGTTAAAGAATGTATGAAAAAACGTCTTGTTTCATTTATTATTTAGAACATTTCTTCGAAAAAAAATAATTCACCTGAGTTTTTGAAGAATATCTCCGAATCTAAGGGAGATAGAGAAATTTTCGTAAATAATTCTTTTGTCGCTCTCATTCTGTTCTACAAAAAAGGTTCTGAGAGAAATCCCTCTATCTCCCTTCAATTCTGAGATACTCATCAAAAACCAACCGCTCCACTAGTGAATTATATTATAATTGGTGTTATAATATCTACATTACTACATTATCATGTTTTTTCTACAATTATCATTTTATTTTTTTACTGAGTCAGCGATAGCCTGCGGCCTAAAATTCCGAACAAAAATAAACTCTAAAACCGAACAAATAAAGAAATACGAATTTTAAAATCCCGAAGAGAAAGTCCTCCGATTCCCCCTTCATTCCAAGCAATTCCCTAACAGATGAGGCCCCAGATCCCGAAGAGCAGGTTCGCATAAAGGCCCAGGAGATCCTCGAGAGACGTAGAGAGCGCGCGGCAGCAGCTCGCGTCCTCCAGGAGCAGCAGAACGAGGAGAAACGTCAGAACACGTACAAACGTCTGCTGCACTTGGTGTCCCGCAGCAAGTTCTACTCCGATTTATTCGCCCAAAAATTGAACCCGGGGAAGAGCGCAGGCCCCGAGGCCCCTAAACCCCGTGGAAGAGCCCACAAGCGCAGTGCAGTTGAAGAAGAGGAGGTCCCGGCAGCGAAGAGAGCCAAAAAAAACGGAAAACTTGAAGAAGAAATGGGAGAGTTGGGCGCAGTTGCGGGGGATGACCTGGAGGAGAAGAAGGTCTTTGTTCCCTTGAAGTACTTCAGGGGAGACCTTCGCGATTATCAGGAGGAGGGGCTGCAGTGGCTGAAGGCCCTCTACGAGAACGGAATGAGTGGAATTCTCGCTGACGAGATGGGTCTGGGTAAAACGGTCCAGGCGATCGCGATGATAGCTCATCTCCTCGAGAAAAAACAGGCTGGACCGTACCTCGTGCTGGCGCCCCTGTCGACAACTCCGAACTGGCTGATGGAGTTTGAGAGGTTTTCCCCGGAAATTCCAGTCGTCTTCCTCTACGGGACGAAGGAGGAGAGGGAGACTTTGGCGAAGAAAATTACACGCCCGGTGGGGGTGGATGGCTTCAAGACGCAGCCCGTTGTACTGACGACGTACGAGGTGGCTGTGAAGGATGAAGTCTTCCTGAGGAGCCAGCACTGGAGGTATCTGGTCGTCGACGAGGGCCAGAGGCTCAAGAACTCGCAGTCGCTATTGGCACAGGTGATGCAGCGATTGCTTTACTCATGTTTTTGGTCTATTTTAGTTGAGCATTGTTCAGGTATTTTTCATTTAATTGTTGTATTTCTATTGACAGCGCTGACTGAGATATTCATGACAATTAATTGATTTATTCTTGTTTATTAGGGAATAGATTAATTTATACTATTTTATTTTAATTTCTTTTCGGATTTATATAATTTCATGCATTTTTATTCTTATTATATATAATTTTTTCCTTAATTGACACGTTACAAGTTTGATTGAAGAGAAATCATGTTTAAGATCAGTGAAAAGTGTTTTTTGTGATTAAAATAAATACACGAAATTGAGAATTGGAGACTGAAAATTTTACAGAATTATTTTTGCGTAAAGTAATGTTTCTCTTTTTCATTTACTTTTCGTTTTTGCTATAGCACGAAGATTTCCCGGAAGTTTGAGAGAAGTGATTCGATATTGGTTACCAGTCCCACTGATTTATTCTTATTCTATTCTATCCTCACCGTGATTAAATAATAAATTAGATATTCAACGACAACAACGTACAATAAAAACCCCAACGAACTAAACTATTCTCAATTTTCCAATCACCTCAGGTGATACAAAAGATGAAATCCTCGAATCGTCTGCTGCTGACTGGCACTCCCCTGCAGAACGACCTGAAGGAGCTCTGGTCCCTCCTCCACTTCCTGATGCCCGACATCTTCGACGACCTCGCGGTCTTCGAGTCGTGGTTCACCATCGAGGACTTTCGAAACGAAGAAGGCACCAATCGTTTGCTGAAGCAGGAGGAGGAGAGGAAGGTCCTCCAGTTGATTCGCGAGATACTGAGGCCCTTCATGCTGAGGAGGCTGAAGTCCGACGTCTGCCTGGACATTCCGCCGAAGAAGGAAGTCCTGGTGTACGCGCCAATGAGCAAACTCCAGCACGACATGTACTCTGCATTGCTGAACTACGAGCTGGACGAGCTCGCTGGAGAGATGAATGGGTCTCTGATCCTTGACGACGAATTCGGGAACAGGCCGAAGCGCAGGTGCTCGTACAGGAATCCGTACAGCGGAGTCTACGGTGATTCGCCCGGGCGAAGTGCCTCGACCTCGCCAGCTCCTGGCACCTCTCGAGCTCCCAGGGAACTCCCTCAGTCCGGGACTACCCCAGCTGTCCAGAAGAAAATGAGAAGACTAAATGAGTATGCACACGTGACTGAGGAGAACTTCGAGTACTTCTCGAAGATAACAATGGGCAATCGTATGATGACGTACAGAAAAGTCATCAATCACCCGTACCTCATCCACAATCCCACGGAGGAAGGCCTCCCCGTCGGTCAGGACCTGATAAAGCTCTCGGGGAAGTTCATGGTGCTCGACAGAATGCTGAAGAAGCTCCACGAGGACGGCCACAGGGTCCTCCTGTTCTCCACCCTGAAGATGCTCCTGGACGTCATCGAGCAGTACCTGACGATGAGACCGTGGAAGTACCAGAGGCTCGACGGTTCCACGGACGTTGCAGTCAGGAGAGAATCCATTGGACTCTTCAATAACGATCCCCAGTATTTTCTCTTCCTCGTGTCCACCAGGGCTGGGGGCGTTGGGCTGAACCTCATGGGCNATATTCAACGACAACAACGTACAATAAAAACCCCAACGAACTAAACTATTCTCAATTTTCCAATCACCTCAGGTGATACAAAAGATGAAATCCTCGAATCGTCTGCTGCTGACTGGCACTCCCCTGCAGAACGACCTGAAGGAGCTCTGGTCCCTCCTCCACTTCCTGATGCCCGACATCTTCGACGACCTCGCGGTCTTCGAGTCGTGGTTCACCATCGAGGACTTTCGAAACGAAGAAGGCACCAATCGTTTGCTGAAGCAGGAGGAGGAGAGGAAGGTCCTCCAGTTGATTCGCGAGATACTGAGGCCCTTCATGCTGAGGAGGCTGAAGTCCGACGTCTGCCTGGACATTCCGCCGAAGAAGGAAGTCCTGGTGTACGCGCCAATGAGCAAACTCCAGCACGACATGTACTCTGCATTGCTGAACTACGAGCTGGACGAGCTCGCTGGAGAGATGAATGGGTCTCTGATCCTTGACGACGAATTCGGGAACAGGCCGAAGCGCAGGTGCTCGTACAGGAATCCGTACAGCGGAGTCTACGGTGATTCGCCCGGGCGAAGTGCCTCGACCTCGCCAGCTCCTGGCACCTCTCGAGCTCCCAGGGAACTCCCTCAGTCCGGGACTACCCCAGCTGTCCAGAAGAAAATGAGAAGACTAAATGAGTATGCACACGTGACTGAGGAGAACTTCGAGTACTTCTCGAAGATAACAATGGGCAATCGTATGATGACGTACAGAAAAGTCATCAATCACCCGTACCTCATCCACAATCCCACGGAGGAAGGCCTCCCCGTCGGTCAGGACCTGATAAAGCTCTCGGGGAAGTTCATGGTGCTCGACAGAATGCTGAAGAAGCTCCACGAGGACGGCCACAGGGTCCTCCTGTTCTCCACCCTGAAGATGCTCCTGGACGTCATCGAGCAGTACCTGACGATGAGACCGTGGAAGTACCAGAGGCTCGACGGTTCCACGGACGTTGCAGTCAGGAGAGAATCCATTGGACTCTTCAATAACGATCCCCAGTATTTTCTCTTCCTCGTGTCCACCAGGGCTGGGGGCGTTGGGCTGAACCTCATGGGCGCTGACACTGTCATCATCTTTGACAGCGACTGGAACCCTCAGGTCGACATTCAGGCGATGGCCAGGTGCCACAGGATTGGCCAGACTAAACCTGTTGTTATCTACAGGCTCTGCACGAAGGGCAGCTACGACGAGGCCATTGTCAGTCGTGCGCAGGCCAAGAGGAAACTGGAGATGCTAGTCATCTCCAAGGAGATTGAGGATATCAAGGTCAATAGGGAGGGGCTTGTCAGGATGAAGCAGCTGTTGCAGGCGAGTGAACATCAGGCTGTTGATTCGGAGAGGGAGGTCTTCACTGAGGAGGAGTTGAACAGGCTCTTGGACAGGAGCGATCTTGTTGAACAGATGGAGAGGGCTGGGAACTCGGGGGGGTGATATACTGACTGAAGATATTTATGATAATGCGTTTATTTTTTAGGGGTAGTTTGAACTTTACGCTTTGAATGAATTGAAATGAATTGAAAATGAATTTTAATTGACGTTTGGAGGTGAATTGCTGGGAATGGGTCAGTCAATTTTTTTAATGCATGGATAGACCTTCGAGAGGAAAAAATCGGGAGTTCATGCTTGAGGGAATTACCGGTTTTATTATTTGTTTTTCGAAGAGTTGAAACTTTTTTTTTGTCAATTTCTTGTAGTACTTTGACCTTTTTTATTTCAATATTGTGACGATTTAAGGAAAGACATGACTGATCGACTACTGACTTCAAAGATATTTATGAGAATTAATGATTTATTTTATTTTATCGGTAATTAATAATTTTATTCAACTGTTAGTTAGTATGAAGCTGTTAGTATGAGGGAACACCGGGTGAACTGAATTTTGGAAATAAGTAATTTGCTTTTAAAAATGTTTACAAGAATTATTAATTTTATTATCTTTATGTGTTAATTAAAAATTCATTTTTTATTAATTTTCTTAACGACTTTTCTTCCTGTTTTTTACTCCAACATGAAGACGATTTAATGAGAGGCGGTTATAACTGGTTAATTAAATTAATCTCAAGCTTTTGAGGAGCGAGAGCGTCCAGGTCCTTTGCTGTTGGATGAATTTTTACTTTTGTATGCCTGAGTCGATTGTTCGCGGAATTCTGCCTCAAGCTTTGTATATGTACCACCTGAATAATTAATTAAATAAATGCATTGATTGCGGGAAATACTCCGCTTTCCTGTTTTTTATTCATTTTTTATTGTTACCTAGTGGCTGATTGTGCCATGCATGATGTTTATGCGGCTTATGCATCACCGTGGCTTCAGGCGATGTTCTCTTCGTTAAAAGCTGGACCATTTGAGCGGCGGCTCGCTCTTCAAAGTCTCTCTGATTGTCCTGATTGTACCTGACGACTAGATTCATACTCCAGCATCTGCCACCTTCATTTCTTCATCCAAAATAATTCAAGAGAACTTTATAAAGATGTTCTTGTGCTCAAAATTTCGATATTCATCTCAAAATTTTAATATTTTATTTTTCAAATCAAATATTAAGATCTCCTTTCCAGAAAATTCTATTCTTTAAAAAATTTAATTTTCCACAAAAATATCCCAAGATGAATGAATTTATTTCAAAAAATCATTATTTCTTCAGCGAATGTACAATTATCTCAATAATTAATGACTTTCAAATCAAATATTAACATCTCTCTTCCAGAAAACTCTATTCTTCAAAAAACGTATTGACTATAAAAAAATCTTGAATGCATTTAAAAAATTATTTCACGAAAACGAAATCCATACCTTTTTATCGAATGATACTTCCGTTTGCTCCTCCTCAGAGACTTGTACATAGGGCATGCACTGGACTCGTCACTGTTCCCCGAGTCCTCCTCGAGGCTGCTGTCCCCACAGGCAGTGCCAGTCTCATCCTCGTCGCTCTCACTCCCAGACGAAGGGGGCGACGAGGTGTCAACCTGGGAGGATTGCCTGGACTTCCTGTGCCTCTGCCCCTCCACCTGACACGGCTTCCTGACCCCAGGGCCGCCCCAGAGCTTCCCCAGAAGCCCCAGTTTGGCCCTGGGAGGCGCCAGCTCTATCCCGTCCCACCACATGGGCTCCTTGCACAGCAGTTTCCCCGAGGGGAGTGACGGGTCTCTCGCAACTAGTCTCGTGATCTTCTCCGGGAAGAACCTCTGCGGTGGATCCTGGGATATCACCTCCCTGTACATCGTGAAGATATTCAACACGTGGCCGTCGTTGTCCACTGAAATTGAAGGTATGTGTTCCTAAACGAAATCCCAAGGTTTTTCGATTTAAATTAAATGAAGATAACTGTTCATTTCACGTCATTTAATCCTGGAAAATTGATCCTGAATGTTTTGAATAATTGATTAAAATCCTAGGGGATTTACTTGTATCTGATGTTATCCTGTAAAAAATTCAACTGCTTGAATTTTTTTTTTCAACATTGAAAATTCAGAATTTAATTGAAAAATTGATGAAAACGTCAAGTTTTAGGTCAAGAATTCCATGACAATTCAAGTAAGTTTATTTATTTATTCTTCTATTCCTTCAATTCTCTTCTCCTTTAATGCCCTATTTTTTTACATGGATCATATGGGGCTTCTTCCGGGTAAAACTATTCTGCTTAAGATTTTTTCCCCAGGATTTAACGACGCGTCATCGTAATTATTGTCCAATTTTACCCTGCATCGACAGCCATCCCTGTTCGGTAAAGCCTCGAATCGATAGGCCCTCTGACTGCAGCAGGGGTACCGCCCCAGAGGGAATGAAGAAGCCCTCTGCTGCTCATTCACGAAGAACTGAGGATTGTCCGGGTGATAGCTGCACCAGTCCATCTGATTGATCGGGAAATGCGTGTTGCATTGTCTGCAGTTTAAAAAATGACAGTCCCCCCAGAGTCTCCAGTAGACTTTCCTCCAGGTCCTGAGCTCCGAGCGGAGGCTCACGATGTAGTCGTTCAACGTCCAATTAAAATCCCTGAGAATAATCCGAAGAGAATTTCAGACAAAAATTATCTTCTCACATTTTCTCCAGAATGAAAAGTCGTCGTTTTTATTTTATAACGATTTCGAGGAGTTTTTATTCACCTCGTGTGCTTGCTGTGCAGATCCCCCTTGCTATCGATCTTCATACAGCTCGGGAGACATGGGACGGAATCAGAAATGGAGCGAATGACATTTTTCCCACATTTTCCGCATTTGAAGAGAGTTGATAACGAACTGTAGTGACCCCTTCGTGTATCCGGGATCGGATCTGCCAGGGACATGATCAATTTGCAGAAGAGTCTGCTCTGAACTTTGTCCTTCTTATCTTTCAATATCTCTACGTCCATATTCGTAAATAGATCAGCTAATCTGGAAAAATTACCCAAGTCAACATTTTTACATTCAAAAAATCAGCAAAATCTATTGTTTTCTCCTCTTATTTGAATGAAGACTTCAGAAATCAATTGAAAAATGTAGTGACATGTCCTCCTGAATGAAAAATTGTTTTTTTTTATTGTTACGTAATTTGGAAGGGGAGTAATGCACCGTAAATAGTGCATTCGTGAATAGATCAGCTAATCTGGAAAAATGACCAAAGTCAACATTTTTACATTAAAAAAATCAGCAAAAACTATTGTTTTCTCGTCTTATTTGAATGAAGACTTCAGAAATCAATTGAAAAATGTAGTGACATGTCCTCCTGAATAAAAAATTGTTTTTTTTTCTTGTTACGTAATTTGGAAGGGGAGTAATGCACCTGGAGAAGATGTTGTCATTCAGACACGTGAGGATTGTCGACGTTTTTAACACTTCCGACATATTCTCGTGGCAAAAGACGAGGCACTGGTCCAGGAGAGGTTCCATCTGGAGGAACGAGGCTGACACCGTGATTGGTATGACGTTACTGGCCTCGAGTACCGGCCACTCTGATTTTTTAATGATGTCCTTCTTGACCCATCTCATCAGCCAGTCGAAGATGACGATATCACAGTGGACGGAGATGTCCATCTCCTCGAGTTTCTGGCCCGCAGTCACGTCAGCGAAGTAACACATCTTCTGGATCAGCAGCTTCTGCGGGCAGCGAAAGTCTTTCTTCACGTTCTTCGCTTCGTCGCAGACGTGAATTTCCACTTCAGTCCTGGGCAGAGAGAAAAATAAAGAAGAGTTAGAAAATTAAAGTGAAAAAATCTTTAGTTGACTCATGACGATGGATCAACTAATTTTAGCTAATTTGATGGATTAAACAATTTTATAGAAAAAGTTTTATAGCAAATGCGCTAAAAAGTTCCATAATGTTTCCATAATTTAGTTTTTCTGAATAGGAATGAATGAAAATAGTAAGTTATTTACTCAAGCGACTTCCTGTGAACTTTATTTCTGTCTTTTTCCTTCTCCTTGTGCGTCGAAGTCATAGACTTCTCGATATTCGCAGTGAGTGAAGCTGTTCTCTTGGCTTCACTCGTCACCGGTTTCTTGATGATTGGCTGAGACACTGCGGGCTTCGGCAGCATGTAAGGCAGCACGGAGTCCAGCAAGCCCTCGTGCAAGACATCGCTGAGGCTCTTCTTCATCAACTTCCCCAGGGGGTGCTCCCTGTTCTCAGTCGAAACCTCGTGCCTGTGAGTTTTATTCTTCTTCGTCGATGAAACACTCTCCGGGGATTTCATGCTGTTGTTGGAGTTCTGGTCCATTGGCCTGTTCTTTTCATGAAAATCCTCAGGGTCCTGGGTTTGCGCATTGTTGGGGATTATTTCGTTAATTTCCTGAAATCGGAGGAAATGGTCAACAGGAGCGGACAATAATGAATAGTTTTTTAAATGTAAAGGCTTTATTAGTTGAGAAAAAAATCAGGAACGTAATGACACGTAATAATTCTTCTTTCGAATCAAACAAAAGTTTTATTCATTTCGAATAGATTACTCGATCATTACTTGAGGCTTCTGGCAATTTCCCAGGGCCAAGTCCTCAGTCCCCACGTTCTTCTCATTAGGCGACCGAATATTCAAATCAATTTTCGCCAGTTCCGTCCAATTCAACTCCGAATTTGTCGATAAAATCGTCGACAACTCGTCGAAACTGTCGTTCACTTGATAAGCGGTTCTCATAAACTCGAAGAACATTTGAATCGTCAATTCCGGGTATTTTTCGTCGTTAATTGGGAAAATGTCGCCCATTTTTTTTGTGTACACGTCGAATGACCTGGAGAGTCGGGTCTCACTGGATCTGGGGCTGTGCAGCGCTGAAACGAATGCGTAAAAACCAAAATTCATCAAATAAAATCAAAATCAAATAGATTATCGGTAACCACATAAAAAAATGTTCAAACGGAAGCTTTAAATCCACTGGAGATAGTGTGAATGAATCATGTAGATTTTCGCACTTTAAACAATAAAAAAAATAAGCAGATAAAATAAAAAAATAAGCAGATAAAATAAAATCGGCCAAAAAACCGGTGGAACTTTCAATAAAAATTCAGTAGTTTTTCCATGAAATTTTTACCATTGTGAGACTCACCATCACTCATTGAAACCGCACTGGATAATATCGGCTTGGAAATACCTCTTTTCAATCTCTCATTGTAAATCCTCTCGAACTCCAATCGCTTCAGCCTATTTTGACACATTTCCACTTCTTACTCAATAGATGACGAAACCAAAACCGACCGACTCCCCCATCATTTTCATATTTTCAATGATTCCGGGGGATTTTTCCTACTCAACTAATTGAACACGGGATATTTAACGTCAGAAAATTACGGATGATGAATTCACTCGATACCGGGGTTTCTAAGACTCCCAGAAATGATAGATCAAACAAACACATTATGACACTTTGTTACGCATGAGCATAATCCTCATGATGATACAATGTACGATGTCTGCTCACTGGTTGTATTGCGACGGATTAATTATTACCACATTGATTAATTTAACGCCAGAAGTTGGTTTTATCAATTACAAAAAACAAAAGCTACGGAAAATTCAAATATTGTCCAGTGTAGTGAACACGCAGAATAAAAGCTCAGCTTCAAGTTCAATTAGATGGATTGGATGGATAATAAATCGTTAATTATAACTAATTAGATGAACAATCAGGGATAATCATGATCGATAATCGGGTTAGAGTCAATTGAAATAAAAAAATCGTAGAACATTTCGTCAGCAAAAAACATTTTTCAAAGATTCGTGCGCCGATTCAGCCCCTCCCCCCAAACCCGAATAAACCCGAGTGAAACACATGTTGAATTTCATCATCAGATGTCAACGACCACATAAAACCTAGAAAATCCCCTATTTCTAGGATAAAAGTGTGATAAATTTAATTCACCTAGTGTTGATACCGAAAATGGTCTCGACGATGGGCAAAGACATCCACAGGAGTGCCCTGGAGCTGGTGAAAAACATAAACTACGGGTACGACAGCGTCCTAACCTAGTCTAAATAGCTGAATAACCCACAGTAATTTATCCAATATTTTGTTTCAACAATGGTAATGGCAATAGAAAGCTCAAGGGAACACACGAGATCGTCGAGGCGACCATCAGGGTGCTGAAGGAGATTGTTAGCAGCTCGGAGTGGAGCACCGCAAGGTAAACAGTGGCCCCCTTCACCCCTACGGACAATGGAATTAATTTACGGAATTTACAGCATTCATATTCAGCTAAATATGAAAAAAAAAAAAAAAAAATTGGCGAATTCCATGGAAATTTTTGTTAGATTTCTATTGAACTTTTACTGAAAATTCTATTTGTTTCTGCCCTATTGAAGAGCTACAAGGCTTACTGTGCGTTTTTTTGTTTAGAAAATGTTCAATAAAAATTATTTTATAACAAGAAAAAATCAGCAGAATTTCATTTCTTCTATATAATTTCAAAAATTATATAAAAAAATTGAATTCTGCTGATTTTTTCTATTGAGATGGTTTCTGTAGAAATTTCTAAGATTTATTTTTACTCTCATTTTATTTTAAAAAATTACACAAAAAAATTGAAAATTTGAGCCGAAGAATTTCTATAGGAAATACCTCAATAAAATAAATTGCGTAGAAAAATCTATTCTATTTATTTTTTCTGTAAAATATTTTCCCTTAAACATCAGTTACTTTATTTTACTGAACAATAGCTATACTGTAAATTTAGTTAATTATTTTAGCTTCATGAGGGTCTGAAAAATATCAACAATTTCTCATGAAAATGACATAATCATCAACTGCTCAAAATAATTTTTTTTCGTATTTTGATGCCTGCGTATTTGCTGGAGGGAGTTAATTAAAGAAGCTTAATCGAAACAGTTGAATGAATTACAAAAATGATCAATAGCACTAGTCACTAGTACTACTAAATTGACCTTGTGTTCTTGATGTTCACCAGAAAACTCATGGATTTAATAACGTTAAATGGAAAATACATGATTGCTGCGGTTCCCTTGGAGGCCTCGATAGGCAACATGGTGAGGAGAATTCTCCAGATAATTAGGGAGGAGTACACATTAGAACTCGAGAATAAACCTGACGAGGCAGATCCCCAGGAGTCATTGCACAAAATCCTGACATCTCAAGGGGCACAAGACATAGATTTCAACATTTCAGTGCCCGACTTGAAGTCTGCAGTGATCGAGCATATTAACGAGTTCGAGGTGGAGTTGGAAACATGGTAATGATGATGATCGTAACTTAAATGTCATTGAAGTGATCTCCTGAGGATGATTAATCGTGTTGTTGACTTTCAGCTCGGAAAACATAACTCAACAGGCGTCTGAGCACATCCATTCAAACGAAATTATAATGACGATAGGATATTCGAAGATGGTCGAACGGTTTTTCAAAAAAGCTGCTGAGACTAGGGAGTTTGAGGTCATCATTGCCGAGGGAGACCCTTCACTGAGTGTACGATCTGCATAAAAATGATCAATTATTTGATAATTATTGAATTTGATTCATTCTTCTACTTACTCAATTTTTTACCTCAATTTTTTAGACGAATTGCCAATATTATTCCGTCGCATTTCACTCCTTTATTAGTTTTACATAAAATTAGATCTTTATCGACGAACTAAATATTCCTGTTCATAATTATTAATGATTTCTAGGGCCAAGAGTTGGCAGCCAAGCTCCCCAGGCAGATAAAAACCACATTAATATCAGACCGAGGAATTTTCGCAATGATGTCTAGAGTGAATAAAGTCATAATCGGGACCCACACAGTAATGGCTAACGGTGGATTGAAAGCAACAACTGGATGTGACACAGTGGCTCACGCAGCGAAGCACTACTCAGTCCCTGTCATGGTCCTCCTGCCCCTTTACAAGCTCTCCCCACTCTACCTGTGCTCCTTCGAGCAAGAAGCTTTCAATAAGTATCAAGCACCGATCCAGGGGGTGATCGACGGGGCCAATGAGCCCCTGCTCGAGAGAATTCAGGCATACAACCCAGTGTTCGATTATGTGCCACCTGAATTGGTGACTCTATTCATCACAAATACGTAAGTGAAAGAAAAATCAAAGGAAAAAAAATGTGAATTCAGTGTTTTGATGATATTAGTTTAAATTTGTTGACTAATTTTCATTTTCAGGGGTGGAAATGCACCTTCCTACGTCTACCGACTCCTCAGCGAGCTGTACCACCCTGACGACTACGAATTATAATAAATCTGTAGAAAAGTGGAATGACTCGATTGACTTTTAGAATACAAAAATTCATTTATTTACACATCGCCTTGTTTTCGATAAAAATATGTACATATTTGTTTCGTTTAAATGCAAGAAGTAAACTTGACGTGGAATTAGCTTCCGAAGAGACTTCATCAAGTCTGAGATAATATATACAAACTGGAGACCCTCCTGCATGTGTTGAATTTCGAGAATCGGGTTCTTGTCTGTAATTATTAATTATTTTAACCCAAACAACTTCAGAGCCTGAACACTTCCCATTCACAAAAGTCAACAATTATTAGGAAAAACAATTCGCAATCCCCAGGGGCGAGGGCTCCATAATTTTTTAACTTGGTTTACTTCAGGATTTTGCTATACGAATGGATTCCAGTTGCTCCCGTCCTCGGGTAAGAGGGAATTGGTCACTAGGAGGATGACATCGACGATCCACCAGATGCCCAGGCCCCCCAGGGTCAGCAGTTTGCCCACAGCTGTGCCGGTGTGACCCAGGCAGAAGCGATCCATCCCCAGGAACCCCAGGAGGATGCTGTAGAGGAGGGTCAGGGTGAAGTAGTGGCCACTGTATTTTATGCAGGGAACACCGTCCCTGTAGAAGGTCCTGGGGCCGTAGCACTCGATGTCGGGGAGGACTGTGCAGGAGACGTTGGCTTTCTCCACTTCGTCGTATCGAGAACCTCCAAACTGTTGACATGAAAAAATTATCAAGGAATTAATGACATTTTTTTTCGTTTTCAAAGATTTTTGAACGATTATTTTCTCTTTTGAAGAGATTCTGTCAGGTTTTAAAATGGAATGGTTCATTTACTATAATTTTCCCTAGTGAAGGTGTGGAATGGAATGAATTTGTTTTTTTTTATTGTTAAAAAGATGAAATAATTTCACTGTTAAAAAACGATCAGATTCTGATGAATATCTTCAAATCCACAAGAAATATAGGAAATTTCCCAAGAACCTCTTCTGAAATTTAAATTTAGGGGAGGATGGGGTAAAATGGACACTGGACTTTTTAAAAATTATTCATACCTCAGAAACAAATTTATCAATTGAGCTCGGTTTAGGCTCGTCACAAAGAGAAAGAGTTGTTCTTTGTATTGAAAAAAAAAAATATCAAATTTTATCAACATTTCAACCCCTCATTAACATTTAAAAAAAAGTCAAGTGTCCGTTTTACCCCAACCTCCCCTAAGTCTTAAATTTTTCACAAAAAAATCTGTGAAAATCCCTCATCTCCATTATGTCCAGAGATAATCTCCAAAAATCTTCAACTGTAACCAAATAATTTCTTCCACAAGTTCTAAATCAATCTGAACGTGAAATTGTCAAATAAATTCTTCAAATATGATCTGACTATTGCTCTCCTACCTTGATACACCCATAACCGCTCTCAATCTTCGCGCTTTTATTCCCCTTGTGATCGAAAGGCTCCTCACACTCGATGAAATCCACAGGCCTGAAACCCCCAAGAGTCCGTCAAAAACCCCTCGGTCAGATCCGATCAATTAGCCCCTCATGTATAGATATTCAAAATTTTCATTTTTTTCCTCATTGAAGTAGTTTTGAAGAAAATTCTCTTTCAATTAAAGGCCCGAGTTGAAGACCCGAGTTTGTAGCAGCGTTGTCAGACAAGATATGAATGTTTTTTTGGGCTCAAATGAAAGAGCGGGTCGAGAAATGGCGTGCTAGAGCCTCTAAACATGACAAATGTCTGTAAAGTTGATGTCTGTTTTCAATTGAAAAGCAGAGTGTCTAGGAGGACAATGGGGTCTAGGAGTATGTATAGAACATTGGGGTCTAGGAGTCTCCCCTGGTTCAAAACCATCTTTAGAGGTCCTAGCACGCCATTTCTCGACCCGCTCTTTCGTTTGAGCCCAAAAAAACATTCATATCTTGTCTGACATCTTTGCTACAAACTCGGGTCTTCAACTCGGGTTTTCAATTGAAAGCCCGAGTTGTAGACCCGAGTTTGTAGCAGCGATGTCAGACAAGATATGAATGTTTTTTTGGGCTCAAATGAAAGAGCGGGTCGAGAAATGACGTGCTAGGGCCTCTAAACATGACAAATGTCTCTAAAGATGATATCTGTTTTCAATTGAAAAGCAGAGTTGTGACATCATTGTCTAGGAGGACAATGGGGTCTAGGAGTATGTATAGAACATTGGGGTCTAGGAGTCTCCCCTGGTTCAAAACCATCTTTAGAGGTCCTAGCACGCCATTTCTCGACCCGCTCTTTCGTTTGAGCCCAAAAAAACATTCATATCTTGTCTGACATCTTTGCTACAAACTCGGGTCTTCAACTCGGGTTTTCAATTGAAAGCCCGAGTTGTAGACCCGAGTTTGTAGCAGCGATGTCAGACAAGATATGAATGTTTTTTTGGGCTCAAATGAAAGAGCGGGTCGAGAAATGACGTGCTAGAGCCTCTAAACATGACAAATGTCTCTAAAGATGATATCTGTTTTCAATTGAAAAGCAGAGTTGTGACATCATTGTCTAGGAGGACAATGGGGTCTAGGAGTATGTATAGAACATTGGGGTCTAGGAGTCTCCCCTGGTTCAAAACCATCTTTAGAGGTCCTAGCACGCCATTTCTCGACCCGCTCTTTCGTTTGAGCCCAAAAAAACATTCATATCTTGTCTGACATCTTTGCTACAAACTCGGGTCTTCAACTCGGGTTTTCAATTGAAAGCCCGAGTTGTAGACCCGAGTTTGTAGCAGCGATGTCAGACAAGATATGAATGTTTTTTTGGGCTCAAATGAAAGAGCGGGTCGAGAAATGACGTGCTAGAGCCTCTAAACATGACAAATGTCTCTAAAGATGATATCTGTTTTCAATTGAAAAGCAGAGTTGTGACATCATTGTCTAGGAGGACAATGGGGTCTAGGAGTATGTATAGAACATTGGGGTCTAGGAGTCTCCCCTGGTTCAAAACCATCTTTAGAGGTCCTAGCACGCCATTTCTCGACCCGCTCTTTCGTTTGAGCCCAAAAAAACATTCATATCTTGTCTGACATCTTTGCTACAAACTCGGGTCTTCAACTCGGGCTTTCAATTGAAAAATAAAAATACGCAAAATAAAATACGAACTGCAAGAGAAATAACGCATGCGATGAAATGCAATTGAGAAAATTCCAGTGACAAAATCAAAACTTCACTCACAGAAACTTGCACATAACCAAAGGTCCCTCCGGCCTGTACTCCTGCTGCTGTTCGCTGCTCTTGTTTCCACTCACCAAAACAATCGCTTCCCCAAGTGCCATCAGCACCCCGAGAACCCAAAGAACCGCTGCAGCCCTCATCATCTCCGCCCGTCACATTTTACCCCCAAAGACCGATGATTTAATCTCCCAAAGCCAAACACGACTGGTTAAAAAATAACCCCCCAGTCTTGAACGGTCCAAAGTACCAGATTCCCCCGCGAGACAGCAGTGGCCGCGTAGCATGTGCTCCGTATTAATCTGCGCAGTCGTGTCCCATTCAAGATCGCACGCGGTGCTCCCCAAAACCCAGTGATCACCCCCAACGATGAGATCTTCTTGACATTCGTCGGAGCCTCCAGAAGATCCTCGAAATAACCCACCAAAGATGAACATCTCGACAGCACTTTGGCGTCAGCTGAGCCCGAAAAACGGTCGCGCTGGCAGCGTAACTTACCTGACGACCTGCAGGCACTACTCAGGTTACACCAAGAGAATGGGAATTTGGCTGAGGGACCACAGTATCGAGGTTACGAATGCCTGCACGAGACAGTTGGAGTTCATCGTTGCTCAGAGGGTGCGCAGGAGTCTCCAGTTGTTCGAGTTGTGGACGAAGATCTGGGACGACGTGGCTCTGAAGGAGTTCCTGAGGGCCTGGAGGAGGAGAGCGAGGCGGAGTGGGAGGGAGTTGCTGTTCTCCTCGGTCGGGGTGACCATGTTCAACTGGGAGAGGGACAGGATTGACAATGAGGAGTTGTACAGTTATGCCAACGAGATCGAGACCATTCACAAGCTCAAGGAGACGACTGTCGTCTGCGAGGACTGCCGTCAGAGGCTGGTCATTGATAAAGCACAGCCTGGTGTTGAGTACTGCGAGTGCAAGGGGAAGGCGGCCAGGGGGAGTGGGGACCACTGGGAGCCCTTCATCGAGAGGAGGGACATGCTCATCTGGAGGAGGGAGGAGCCTGGCACCGGGGGACTCTACGCGTATAAAGTGTTGGGGACTTTTTCGGATGTCTCTGCCGATGAGTTCCTCAGGGTCCAGGTGGACGTGCAGTACAGGAAGGAGTGGGACACCACTGCCAAGAGGCTGGAGATCATCGACACTGACCCTCAGGGGGTGGCTGACCAGAACCAGAGGAGTGATGTCATCTACTGGGAGATGATATGGCCTGTAATTATATTTCCTGCAATTTTTTTAATTGACATTTTTTATGAGATAATTGAATTATAATGTTCGTGAGGAGAGGTGGTGGACGAAAATATCGAGAGATTTTTTTTCAATTCACAACATTACTATTATCGTTCAAAATCCCAATGTCCAAATGCAATTTTTTCAATGAAAATATCGAATTAAATAGTTAAATAATAATGTCTCTTTTTTATATCTGATGAAATCTATATAAAAAAATGTGTTGATATTTCTTCACAAAATTATTCTCATCAATTCCCAAAATTTCAATTTTTAGTCATTTTAGCTATTTCATTGCAGAGACTTTTTTCGAATAGAGATTACGTTTATCAGAGGCGTTGGGTGCTGGACAAGGAGAAGGGGATCGTCGTCATCGTGAGCAGGGGCATCCAGCATCCAGCTGCCCCAGACAGACCCGACACCTACAGAGTTAATTCGTACTGGTCGTACATGGTCATTAAACCCTGTAAGAATTTCGGTGAACCTGGGATTGAGTTTGGACTGACGTATTTCGAGGATCCCGGGATCAATATACCCTATGCTGTGAGTGCTTGGGTCGCCATGAGTGGTGAGAATGTTTATTTTACTGTTCTTCAACTGATTTGTAAACACGAATTGCAATTTTTTAATTAGTATTTTTTATTTAGTATAATTTAGTTTCTCAGTTATTTGAATTCACAATTAATTTTTTAAACTAAAATTTAGGTTTGAATAATTGGATAATTCTCTCAATAACGAGTGTTTTTAGACAAGAATCTCAAGAGATATTTTTTACAGATGAATAAATAAAAAAAATTCTTTGGTATTCTTTTGTATGAAATGAAAAGGAATGCGTTCTCTTCACTCACTAAAAATTATAATTATCCCTTAGGATTGCCTGATTTCTTGAACAAAATGAGGCAAGCAGCGAAGGACTACAAGTACTACATAGCAAAAAATCAGAAGCCAGAAGAAGTTCCTGATTCCACCGAAGAAATTGAAGCCTCAAACGACGAAATAACTCTCAACTGTCAACCAAACGACGTGGTAAACGAGCCAGTACCCGAAGAGATCGTGGTGAGTCCCACTGCAGAGCCAAAAGACTCCCCAATCCCCTGTCAAGGCGTCATTAACCCCCAGAGCAATGACCCCTGTGAAGTGGAAGTGCAATCAACAAGTGAGGACTGCGAATTATCTGAACAGATGATCGAGAAACAGAGTAGCTATCTGAGATATATTTTCCTGACCAAACTGTTTGCATGACAATTGTACACATTTTCGTCGTCCAATAATAGCACTGACGACGAAAATAAATCCGGCGTTGTGCTCTCAGGGAAAACTGATAGCTTTGCACCACCTTCTGGTGGTCAGTAGGTTTGTAGGACGCCTTGGGCGATTAAACCTAAAGAGAACTCAAGTTAAAGCCCGATTTTAAGACATTGAAATAGTGGAGAATTTAGTTTTATATGGAAAGGTGCTATTCTCTATGGAATTACCTGAATAATGGATCACGTAATCATTGGATGTCGCATGAATTGATCTGTTAAACTGATTTTTCATCACACTAGCCGAAAATATTCAATTCTGTTTTATGATGCGAATAGTCTATTTTTAATCAAATCACGCTCTTTACATTCTTCAATTGTAAAATAATGACCGATCAAACGATTCGATTTAATTTCTCCTCGTTGTCTCACCGATACATTATTCTGTACATAAAGTCGGTGTTGTATAAATGTTAATAATGTTTTACATTTGTTGCTCAAGAAAAAATGCCATTGAACAACTGGTTGAAGTATCTGTATGATAAAAAAATAGATTCATAAATTTGTAAAGGAAACCAACGGTTTTTTCATTACTCTAATCAATAATTTCTTCTATTTCTTCTTGTGTATAAATATATATAAATAACAATTATGATGATGACGAGAGTATCATCGATAATATATACACGAATTTGTTTCCATAAAATACTCCACATATTTTAAATTCTGAATAATTAATTCAGTTCACTCCCGTTCAATACTATTATCAGAATAAATAGGGGAGAATGACTCGTCGGAGTCTGGGATGCTCAAGAAAATATTGTCATCCTCTTCGTCGAGGAGGAATGATATTTCTACTGGCAATGGCATGAGGTTTGACCTGAAACCTGGGCAGTCCTCCTCGTCGTGGCACTTTTGGTAATAAACTTTTTCCTTCAAGTCAACGACGAAGTAGATGTTGTTGCTCTTGTGGTGGCGATTAATATTGGCACAGAATCTAGAAAAAAAATAAAGCAAAATGAGAAATTGGGTAATTGCCCCAACTCATCATGAAGATAATTTAATATTTAAAAACCTGAGGAAAACGAATCAATTATCGTCTTTAATAAGGCTAAATGCTACATTATTATTCACCTGTTTCCAAGGATATCGTAAAGAATAGTTTTAGAAGCCTCGAAATAAATGCAGCATCTGACGTGTCCGGGCTGCACCAGTTTCCTAATGAATTTATCGACGAATGGATAGGGGGACTCAGTTGTTTGCTGATTCTGACTGAAAAACCTGTGGCCTTGGCTGAGTCCTCTGGGGTACTTGTCCACCTCTCTCGAGGAGTCATGGTTGAACTCCAGAAGAGTGAAGGAGTCTTTATCAGGGAAGAACGAGACCAACGAGTCCAGGAAGATGCTCAGGTTCTTGTCCTTTCGTTCGACAGTTGGCTCGTAGTTGCACTCTGGTGCCACCTCCAGGTGAGATAATTTCCCCCATTTCGTGGCCTTGTACACCCTGAAGTGCCTGTTCTTGGTGTAGACCATCGTGTCCACGAAAATTTTCTTCTTCTTGTCGGTCTCAATGAAGAGGGACTCGAGGTCCTTCAGGGGAAAGAAGCTCAGGACCTCGTGGAAGGCTGAACCGTTTGACGAGAGGTACTCGTCAATCTCGGTTGTGATGCTTTTTATGAATCTACCTGCGTGGATGTTGTGCTTGAAGGCCACGTCCTTCGTGCAGAATATCAAGTGTCTGCTGAATTTTCTTGGGGTCGTCGAGTCCAGGTTCAAGACGTTCTTCTCCGAGCAATCGAGCTTCCAGTATTTTTTCAAGAAGGCGAGGAGTATTTCTAGGAGGGTTTTCGTCATCGAGGGCCCATTACTGTCGGGGTTCAAGGAGCTCTGGAACTCTAGGTCTAAGTACAGCCAGCATGGAGCACCTTCTGGAATCACCTGGGGAGCAATCGAGGAAATTTAAGGAATAATTATTATCATGACTAGATAATGCAATTAATAATGCAATAAAAATGGAAAAATTGGGGAATAGAGTTTGAATTTTGGATTGAGTAGTTAGGGGAGGAAAAAATAAACCAGTACATCAGTGAGTTGTTAGAATTTTTAAGAAGTGAAAGGTGTTCATTTTGCCTCACTTGTCCCTAATTATCTCTGTAATGAGTGGATTTAGGAAGAAATGTCAAAAGCCGTTTTTATAGCTGAAAAAATTCTTTAGGAAAAAGGGCTTTTGCCATTTTCATCTGAATTTACTCATTAACAAGATAAAAATAAAAAAGTGAAGAATGAATCAACAGTATTTGTATCTTTTTAAATTTAAAATCCAGTAATTATTCCCATGATGGGTGATTAAAGAGGATTTTTTTTCTAAACTCAATCATTAGAAAGATGATTCAGCAATTCCAAAGTTCGTGAAAAAATGACCAAAACAATTTTTTTTTTAAATTCATCATTCAATCCATAGCGAATCAGCTGAAGAAAATTTCTGAAATTCCCTCATCCTCGAGGCAATTGAGCAATCAAATCGGAGTAAAAAAATAATTTCCTCCCCATGAATTTCTACAATCGATTCAGCAAATTGTCTACCTCATACGTGCACCTCTCCTCGGGCTGCTGCCTGATGAAGGAGTGCCAGTAGACCTCTGGATGAGCGACGACAAACATCCTGCGACCGTCGTTGTGATGATCCTGATACACAAAAGTGCACAGTGGGTCGTGCCTCGTGCTGTGCTCACGAGCAGCCTCAAGGGCCTCAGCCTGCTTATAATACTTCTCCCAGAACGTCGATGGCCCCAGCAAAGTCGGCCTGAACCTGCTGGCCTCACGCAGCAAGAGACGCCTCTTCTGACACTTCTGCTCGATCTCGTCGAGTTTTTTCTTCATTTCACTGCTCCCCGGGTAGAACTTCGAGGGCTTTATCGGGGTCAATTCACCACTTTCTGTTGCCATTGTGTCCAGTTTTTCAGGAACTGGTAATTGTTTTTACGTTTTATTTATTCCGGGGACACGTTTCGGAGCCAGTGTTTACATTGAGATTCCGCCAATAACTGCACGATGTGTAGTTGTACTGTCCCCAAACACGTCGGAGCGTGTTCGGAAAATCAAATAAAACGGTTGAGGTCGGTTGTGTAGGGAATACCCAAAAATGTCGATAACATAGGCATTCATTTTTCCCAGTTATTTTTTCAAATTTGTAACTCGAATTTTCAAACTATTCATTATTGAATTGACAATTTCACTGTCCTATTGCACGTTTTGTTTTTAATTGAAAAATTTCAATCGGAACTGTTCTGTAGAAATTGTACAGACGATCCTATTGATTTTTTCTTCAAATATTTTTCATTGAACAATATAAAAAATTGTGATTTAATAAAAAAATACATTGTAGTTTAATAGAATTATTTATTTATTCATATGTAGCCGATTAGGCTTTTTGGATATGCTTTCATAATTATCACAGAAGTAGTCGTAATAGTTTGTATCCAAAGGGTAATCAAAACAAAGTTCTACAAGCGAAAACTGAATTTTTCTTTTGTCGCTGTGTGAAATGAGACCGTCGTTCTTGCCTCTAGTATCCCAGATCCAGCTCAGTGGACATCCCTCCCGGGATGAATCGTAATTAAAAAAAAAACACGCAGATCAACTGATGAATTTGTTAATAGAATCGGCCGAAAACCGATAGAAATTTCAATGCAACTGCAATTTTCCAAGAATAAAATGTAATTAGATTCCAGTTTTCCTTGTTTTTTTTCTTCTCATTTTTCATTTTTAAAAACAATTTTTATTTATCGCCTGTTACAAAGTGCTCGACCAAAAATCGTCCGCTTCAAACGAAAAAACGAAAAATGACTTCAGTTGATCGCCCACTCAATACTGCCCTCAGCTCATATTGCCTCTGCAGATGCCACATATTCGCATCGTCTTTCAAGTTCTTTCAAGTCGTCCCACCCCATCAACCGACTCAGCTGCTTGCAGTTCAACCCGCACAGACAGCCATTCGGAAATTTGAGAACGCACAATCTCTCCGCCTCCTCCGCCGCCATTTTGTCGAGCACGGCCGTGCTCGACAAAATGGGCGCATCGGCCGAATGAACTCCTGCGGGGGTTGGATCATTCGGAAGAATTTTCGAGTCACTTGTCTTGAGCCTCTGAGATTCATCGTTCACGTCCTTCGGGATGTCAACGGGGTATTGTTGATTCTGGTGGTACAACCGGTACTCTTTCTCGAGAAGAACAGCTTCTTCCGGCGTAATCTCGTCGAAGGCATGAAGACCTCCCTCGGGATGGTCGTCCTCGTCGGAGTCGTCGGGGCCATAATAATCTCCCATATTATCATTCTCTTCTCGGTGACCTACGGGCGTGTGCGCTACAGCCCGAAGAGGTCTGTCATTTTTCAGCTCTTCGGTGTCCAGAGCGGGAATTAGTGCAGCAGCAGCGGGTGTCCCCTGCACGTGGAGATTCTTCTTCTTAACGCTCTTTTTCGTGAAGTCTTCAGACTTGTCGTTATGACTTTGTGGCTCTCGCGTTTGCTGGCTCTTCTGATTCTGTTGCTGCGCCTTCCCCGGGGACTTGGTCGTGCTGTCATCGAGACTCTGTAGACGATTCTCGACAGACTGTTGCCTTCCCCCGTCGCTTGGTGATTGCTGTCTCATGACGCTATTGTGCTTTCCAGCGAGCTTTTTCGTGTGGTCTTCGGACTCTTCGTTATGATTTTTGGACTTTTCCCCTTCACTCGGCGATTGCTGTCCCCCAGCATCAGAAGCTGACTCGATTCCTTGGAGGAGATCCACCCGGACGGGCTCCCTGTCAACTCTGCTGCTCTCACCGGACGGCGCGTCAGGGCTCGACTGCTGCTGAGCGCTTTCCAAATGGGGACACATCGGTATGGGAACACAAACGTGGCTCGCATTCAACGCGTAACCCGGGGCACACATGCAGCCGGGATGGAACACCTAAAACGAGATGTTGGGGTGTTAGGAGAGGAGGCATGCTGGGTGGGAATACACGGAGAGAAATTTTCTAGGAAGATTCTAGTAGGGGAGGATGGGGCAAAACGGCCCCCCTTCAATCGTCAATATTTTCCGATTCAATAATCCGATTGGGATGAGTTAGAGCTCGTTTTGAAGAATGAAAAATTATCTTCAAAATGAAGTTGAAACTGGGAATTTTCACAATGTCATTCACAAGTTATTGACAATTGAAGGGGGGCCGTTTTGCCCCATCCTCCCCTACGAGTACTGGAAAAAATCACATTCCACCGGCTGTGAAAAATTCTAGTATTTCAGGTAAAATTTTGGGGATTTCTGTGAAATTTTCAGACATATGGGGAAAAATTCACGTTTTCCACAATAATATTTCTAGTTCCGACACTGGAATTTTATCCTGGCCGTCACTCTGCGCCTCTTTTCCCGTGCTAGCACTAGAATTTTTCTAAAAAATTTCTCTCCGTGTGTGTCTGTGGTGTATTTTACCGGTACGCAGGGCTGATAACAAGACATGTTATTAGGTAGTGGGTTGAGGCAGGTCCACAGAGAGTAGAACGAGTTGGGGGGGCAGGGAGGAGGCTCCTGCTGGGGGGCATATGGAAGTTGGGGCACATTCGCTGGTGCTGCACCGAAAGAATTATCAATTATAATCTTGAAATTCAACTGGACAATTTAGGAAATATTCACCGGGTGAAGAAATTTCATAGAAAAACTCCATCGGTTTTTGGAGGATTTTAGTGAAGAATTGCGCAGGATTTTGGAGGAGAGACCTCTGCGCACGAATTCCATCTCCCGCAATGAAAAAAAAATGGAATAGCATCCAAATATTTTAATTTCCCCGCTGTCTTTATTTTTAGACACGCAATGAAAAACGAAAAAAATTTATGAAGAAAATAAAATAAAAAAATTTAGCAAATTTGAACCAAGAATTTGAATAAGTTGTGTAGAAAAATCAAATTCGATTAATTTTTTCTATAGAATATCCTCAATTGAATATTTTCATTCGAAAAAATATCTAGAGTACTCACCACTAGCACAGCTGACCCAGGTCAGAGAGACTACAAAGCTGAACCTCAGCATGATGAACTCGTTCCAACAAACACCATTCCAATGATACCCAAAATAATGACTCCCCTTTTATACAACCGAAGGCCGATCATCCCCAAGCCGAAACGTGACTTTCCACGGGAAAGCACTCCTTATCACTGAATCGCCGGAAACGAGCTGTTATCACCACTGGAAACATCACGATTCCGCCAGTCAGTATCGCAGTTATCAATTCCCCGAAGAAAACAACGCTGACTAAATGCACCAAATAAATTTTCGTATTATCTCCACCATCGAAATTTGAGTGATAAACGAGTTGTCATGAACATGGACTTCCGAACATTTCCGGGTTGACGAAATTATAAACCGCTCCGGGAGTTGTATGCAACTGCCTAAGGCCCGGCCTGCATTCATTTTTTGTTTATTTTTATCCCTAGATTCCTCAGAATCTATGCACATTATAGTCGTTTACGGAGGTACTAATTGCGGTTGGAGAGCGTCAGAACGCGTGAGAGAGAGAGAGAGAGAGAGAGAGAGAGAGAGAGAGAGAGAGAGAGAGAGAGAGAGAGAGAGAAGTCAGAATGCAAGTATCAAGAAAAAAAATCCAGTGGAACGTTTTTTGAAGCCAATCTATTCGGCGTATTGTGTCATTAGAATATATATATATATATATAATACAACATTAATAACAATAATAATATTATCCTTTGATAAATATAAATATTATTATTATATTATTATATATTATTTATGTATATATACTTCAGGAATAGTATTCGAAAAAAATAATAATATCAATCAAATTATATCATATTTATGCTATTGTATAATTCTACGTAATATATTATTGTGATGGCTAACACGTTGACAAAATGATTCATCAAATTTTCCTCAGCTACAAAGTTAAACAATAATATTTACTTACGTTCTAATATCTCATTCAATTTAATAGATATACGCCATTGAAGGAATCAAAACAAATAAATACAGTGTACCATTAGGCCCCAGGGAGCAGCACATTCGCGCGGAGCGGGCGGGCAGATCTAGTCATAATAAATATACACAGAGAAAGCACGAGAGCACGAGACAGCGTGAGCAAGCGTGAGAGCGTGAAGCGTACGAAAAAAGGAGTGAATTGAAAATACCCTCACGAATACAAAATCAAAGATGATTTTTTTTAAAGCCAAACCAATAAAAAAATCAATGAAAAAGATTGAGTAATGAATTAAAAATGCCCTCGCGAATAAAATCAAATGAAAGATGAGCCTTTTATTGACATCGAAGCAACGAAAAAAATCAGAAGTCAATTGAGGTCAATTGAAAAACCGTCAAGTGGGCATTAATCAACCAGAGGATTAATCCACCCCCGGATGACGAGAGAAGGGTGGGACTGATGACGTCGTCAGTGTCGTTTTATCACCGGACGAGCCCCAGTCCGCATTAATACCGAGGATTAACCGAATTCCTCCCCTAAAGTCGTGCTATTCGACAATTGACATTGGGAATTTACTCATGAAACTATAAATAAAACGTATCACCAACTCGATCGACCCTACCCATTGTCTTTCGGGTGCTGCAGAGGGACTGAAGATATCGTATCAAGATAGAAATTGATAGAGAAATCGTTGATAAACCGGTATTGTTCGACGTCGACGTATGTCTCAAGTGTCTATCGGTTTTAGTTTGTGCTCGAGTGCTTTCCGGTGGACATTGGAGTGATAGAGGTCTTGATCATGGGGAAAAAGCCTCCTGAGGTCGCTATAAATTCCTGAAGAATCGTAACCAGTGAATTAAATCGTGAAGTGACACCTCGTGAATCGTGAAATCGTGAAGACTTCATAAACATAAGTGTTCAACATTTAAAAAATAAAATAAAAGTCTTCAGTGAGTTTGTAAAAAAATGAGGGAAGTAACTGGTGAAGTTTATTAGAAAGAAGACGAGAAATAACGAAGTGGATCGAATGGCCCGACGATGGATCGAGAAATTGCTAGTGAAATGGGTTATTCTTGTGGTGTTTTCACCAGCTGTGAAGACGAGCTGTCGAGACACCGAGTTACCCCGGGACTGCGAGGCTCTCTGCATCGGGAATCAGACGACAACGCAGTGCGAACTGCGGGCAGCTGTGCTCCTCCCCAGGGACAACAGATTCGAAATTTCGTTGGCCAAAGTCATGCCTGTCTTGGGTGAGTTGTAGCTGTATTATTTACTCCATTGGTTTGAGAATTGCAGTGGGTTTTGGGAGTGATTTATTTGGCTTTTGGACTCAAGACTTGGCGGTGAGTGACGCCAGGAGACAGAGGCTGCTGCCAGACTGGCTCCAGCTGACGTTCATCCCCAGTGATGACCGGTGCGATGCCACTTATGCACAAATCGCTGCCATTGACAGCTATGCCAACTGTGTTCACCTGTTTTTGGGACCTGCCTGCGATTATTGCGTAGGTCAGTGGATAATCTGGCATTCAATTACTTTGAAGGTTGAAAATTTTGCAGTGTTTTAACTATTTTTTAACCGACATTTCACTGTTTTATTGTTGAGATTTTTTGGAAGTTGAAGTGGAATTTTAAATGGGGGAGACCTTCAGAGTGTTGAAGGTTTCATAAATTCGGTCATTTTTATATTTATTGGAAAGACTCCAAGACACGAGAACAGGAAAAAATACAAAAAAAGAGAGATGAAGAGACGAATTCTCATGGAAGGGGTTGTTTCAATGGAAATATTTGAAAGAAAAAATCAATAGAATTAGATTTTTCTATGAAATTTATTCTATTGAGCTATTTTCTGTAAAAATTACTCGGTTCCCATTTTTTAGATGCTTTTGTTCGATTTTTGTAATGATTTAATGATTTGTTGCTGGAAATGTTCTGAAATTTTCAATAGAATCGGCCAAAACCTAATAGAATTTTCAATTGAAATCCTTTATAATTTTTTATCGGATTCTCTAGGTTTAAAAAAAAATCGCGCATGAAAAACGGTGAAACAACAATTACAAGCCTATTCCAACAAAAATCAATTTAACTCAATTTAAAAATTTTCACCCCCCAGCAAATGTTGGCAGAGTGGTGAAATTTTTAAATGCCCCGTTGCTGACAACCGGTGGCTTCACCTTTGACTTCACAAATAAAAAAACCGAATGCTCGGACGAGTACTACATGACAACAAGAATCGGTAGCGTGGGCTTCAGAGACATCAGTCTAGCTTTTCTGGCTGTTATGGATCGGTAAGGACACTCCCCAGAATTATCAGGAACAATGATCCTAATGGAGTTGATCCCCCAGATACAACTGGAAAAAACTCCACTTGATTTACGATCCGATGGGCCAGACTAGTGTCGCTGGAGAGCACACGTGTCAACTCATGATGAAGTCGATGGTGGCACTCATCAAGAAGAGAGAGGACATCACTTTCGGGAATTTTGATATAGAGACTTACGATAGGCAGGAGTATGGAGAGGTCTTGGAGAAGAGTGTTGGGAACTCCTACAGTGGTGAGTCAGTTATTTTTTCATATTTTTCAGGCATCTGTACATGTTTGACAACGTGTTTGTTTTTCTCTCAGTGTGTAATCATAAATTTTGCTTAAAGTTGAATTTAATAACTTTAATAAGTCAATGTTGATATTACTCACCAATTCTTTAATATTAAATTCATCAGCAATTCAAATATTCAAACTCCGAATTGTTCTATCGATCAATAATTGAGTCCGCAAGACTGACGATTATTCGGCTAATCGAAACACTATTGTGATATTTAGAAATATTTACTCAATAGTTAATTGACAATTTCATATTGCCAATAATTTAGTTGACTGTCAATTGAAAAAAAAATTAATTATCAATTGTTGTATTAAGTTTCAAATTTAAATGAAGGTAAGTAAATCTTAATTATTGTAAGGTGCAACTTCTCATAAAATTGCTAAATTGATGATTGATGCCGATCTACGATATTTTTATCTTACCACAAAGCGTCAAGTGCAGATATCGACAGTTCGATGAGTTACAACTGCAACTGACGTGCAATTAAAGAGCCAATGGTCATCCACTGTAGTTGTAAATAATTTTCTGAAGCTTTGATGTCTCTTCTCGATGAAGAATAATTGATTTAAATTAACGAGTAATTGAAAAATGAAGTCCTCTCGTGACTCAAGCAATCGACAATTGAAAGTTGAAATAACAGCGAAATCCAAGAAAATAATTATCGAGGGTATTTACACACGACGGAATAACTGTCTCACACTTCGTTGGGTCTTCACGAAGTAGGTGTGGAGTTATTGGAAATCGAAGGGGGAGAACGTAATAAAAGTCAGAACGAGAAACTGTACGTGTTAGGGAAATGGCTAGTCGACGGGACGATTCTGAATGGAAAATAGCAGACATCAGCTCTTATTCTTCCCTTCGTTAGCGATATTATTGTTTATCGAGGAGGAAGGGGGGGGCGGGAAGTGTGACAAACGTCAATTAATTCAGGTAAATGCCGGCAACTCTACGTGTCGACATACTCGACGGTGAGTTCGTGAGGAATAGATAGGGAATTAATCATCGCACTTAATCGGGTCAAGGAAGATCACGTATCAGCGGTATTTGATGATGCATTCCACTGCGGGGGGGGTGGTCGTAATAAGGAAATAATTATTTCCACTTTGGCCCCAGGTGAAAAAAAAAGTTTATTTTGTACTTTTTCCAAATACTTTTGACAGTTCTGGATAGCCCGTCGCCGAAATTATCGGAATCACCGTTCACCCGGATGAAAAATTCGATTTTGGCGAAAGTCGACTTTCCCTCTGGAAAAACGGAAAATCCGACCCTTTGAAAATCTAAAAAAAAAACTTTTTCAGTTTACACTTTTTTCACATACTTTTGAGAGTTCTGAATAACCCGTTGCTTAAATAGTTGGAATCAACGTTCACCTGGCTAAAAAATTAGGTTTTAGCGAAAGTCGACTTTTCCCCCGAAAAAAGCCCAAATATGGCACTTTGGCAGCGGGTGAAAAAAAAATTTTTTTATTTCTGCATTTCTGGGGCAAGTGAGGGTCTCAGTGGCATTAGGCGGGCCAGAAAATACAGAATCGACTTTCACTCGGCGGAAAAATTCGATTTTGGCGAAAGTCGACTTTCCCCCCGAAAAAAGCC